GGCCTTCCCCCCCCCCCCGCCACGCGCTGCGGTCAGGTCCCAGCTGTGACATTGTGTGCCGCCGGCTGTCTCCCGGCGGCTTCCCCATTGTCAGTCTTTTGCATACCCAGGCAAGGTCTCCCCGAGGCGCCGATAGCTCGATTTAACTGATGTCTTTTAAAGTGCTGACATCTGGGTCAGTTCCTGATGAATGCTTTTATGTCTCCATTCTTTTTTCACCTAGGTGTGTTTAGCCAAAGAAAATAAAATACATAGGAAGCTATACCCTACCCTCAAATCTGGGTCTCAGTATTCTTTATAGTGGCCAACACTTGAAATATAAACACGGTATCAATGAGTATTGGAGCTTGTTGCTGGCAGCCACGTTTTGTTTCGAGTTATTTTAACAAAGCTTCCTCCCCGCCTTCCCCAGTAATGTTAGTAGATAAAATATTATCTGACTTAATATATAACCCTTTGCATGTTTTGGCCTTATTTGTGGCTGATAATTCCTAGACGTAAGAAGTAATGAACCGATTATTATTACAGTTTTTAAAATGGAATTTGTATAATCTAAACTGATTATTAAAAAATTTTTTTTCAAGATATAGAGTTCTTGTTTTCCTTTGAAGAGACCACCAAAACTTGCTCAGGCGCTTTAGATTTTTTTTTTTTTTTTAACATATCTGAATTTATAAAGCAGTAATTATTATAGTAAGAGAAAATTCAGTACCTAGCCCAAATTGTCAATCAAGAAGTTAGGTGGGTATGTTTTGTTTTATCTTAAGGATAAACTACAAAGAAGACCTATAACAATATTTCTTGGCATTCATTGTATCTTCTCAAATATTTTTAGTGTAAAGTGAAAATTGGAAAGAAAACTTAAAGTCAGCTTATATATTATGCCTATTACCTTATCTATGTCCCAGCATTCTGACTGGTTACCAGGACCTATAGTTGTAGTTGCTAGTTGGTTTGCTTTGAATACATTCTATTCTAACATTACTCACCAATGGTCATTTTTCCTGTTTTTTTTTTCTTTTAAATGTTACCTGTTTTGCTTTTGTTGGTATATGGTTTTTGTACCTACATTTTAGAAAGTCTTTGACTTGGTGGCTTAAATTCAGTGGTCATATTGCTGCTAAATATAACCACTTTTCAAGTATAACCAGCTCTTTTTAAGGGAAGGATGATTCTTACCAGAATAAAGCACCTTCGGGAGTGCTTTTAAATGTTTATTACCCTGTCTGTGCAATCATATTCTGTTGACCAGCATCATCTTGATTTTTTTAATCCTTAGAGGAAAGTAAATCATAAAAATTTAAAAAGGCTAGCCCAGCTGGCGTGGCTCAGCGGTTGAGCATCGACCTAGGATCCAGGAGATCACGGTTTGATTCCTGGTCAGGGCACGTGCCCGGGTTGTGGGCTCGATCCCCAGCAGGGGCCGTGCAGGAGGCAGCCGATCAATGACTCTCTCATCATTGATGTTTCTCTCTCTCTCTCCCTCTCCCTTCCTTTCTCTGAAATCAATGAAGATATGTTTAAAAAAAAACAACAACCACAACTTAAAAAGGCTAAAAGTAAGCATGCACAGCAGTTTACATTTAAACTTTTTAAACTTTGGTTTTAGGTCTGCTTTGATACAGGTTTGTCTCATTTCTTCAAGAAAATATCATTGACAATGAAAATGGCTCTTAATAAACTGAGTTGTTCTCCCCCATTTGTTGTGCTTCAATTTCACACATAGGCAACATGCAAAATAAAATTTTAAAAGATTTCAAGTCAGTTAAGTTTTATGAGTTGTGTGGCTAGGTATGATTTATTCCATATGTGAAATCAAAATCATATGTATGTATCCAAGTTTAAACGTTGTCCACCTAACATTTGAAAAAAGTAATGCACACTTTTTTCATATCATCAAATAACTAACTTATAGGCTAGACATATTTTACACGTAAAATGTCTTTCATGAGTGTCTTAAATACCCATCTTCTGGATAAGAGCCGCGGTCCTTCACTGTTAGCTATTTTCTACATTTGAGATGTTACGTCTGGAAAGTCAAGGTTCCTCAGCGGCTGCCCCCTCTACCATACCATGAACTTAATGTGTCATAAACTTTTAATGTCTCCACATCAGGAGCCCTAACATTTGGTTTTTAGCACAGAGAATAAATCAGAGTTTTGCAATTAAAATTTAGCTAATAGAGCCATTTTGTAGACATAGAAGTTTAATAGTGTCCATTTATGTAGAGATAATGTCCGCTTATCAATCTTTTAAAATTATTTTCTAAATCACTTAATGTTTGAATATTTGCAATTATCTAATTAGCATGCTTTGCTGATTTTCTCTTCTGTTTAATGGAGCAACTCTGTATCATCATTCTTTTCATTGCTTTCTCATAGGCCCATGATCGTTCAGAAAGTGGCGAACTGGCTTTTATTAAGCAGCTAGTCCGAAAGATCCTGATTGTTATCGCCCGCCCCGCTCGCTTACTCGAGTGCCTGGTGAGTTGTTCTGGACGTGACCCTGTTATTTATGGTTAACTGTGGGAAGGCCATGACCCTCAGACAGCCCCCGCTCCATCTGGCTTCAAACACCAGAGCTGAAGAGAAGAGTCAGCAGCAACTACAGTTGTAAATGTTTATGATGGCATCCGTGTGTGATTTTTGTTTTCTGGCTTTAAGTAAGAATTCTAGGACTTGTGCTGCCTTGAGTGACAGTCACATCACATTCTGACCAAACTTAACAGGTGATCATGAAATACATGCTTCACCTTATCTCTGTGTGATTACTCTGCTACGTCTGATTTCACACACTGGCTGAGCCTCCCTCGGTGGGTGTTGCCAAGATGCAGAGAGAGGGAGATCAGAGGTATGCTATCCAGTGACCTGTGGTTACCGTTATTATTTGTTTTTTATAATGCGGCATGTTAGAAGTAGCCCATTGGGGAGAATACAATAGGGCCTCAAGAAATGAGACTTTGAGAGATTAGTTCATTTTATCAGTTATGTAGTTTTCAGTCAGTGATCATTTTTCTGTTTTAAAATTTCTGTTTTATATTATGTAATTCTCATTGAGAGTTCATTCAACACTGTGAACAGATATGAAGCTTTGAATATAAAAGTAGTTTTTAAAAGGGCTTAGTAGACTACCCAAGCTCACTTTAAGTTGTACCAGTCATTAAAATATTTTGTAGCTCTATGTACGATACAGCTTTTCAGAATTACACACACACACACATATAGTTGTATTGCTATGGCTTCCCCTTATTTTAATTAACGTTCATAGCTTTTTTTATAATGGTGACATGTTCACAGCCCCCTAAATATATACACATGTGTAGTGAGATGTGGCAGAGGAGGAGCTTTGAGGGGCAGGTAGGGGCGTGTTGGAGTAGGCCTTTCCCTCAGTGGCCAGGAGCCTAGAACCGCGGGATCCGAAGTCCCCTCTGGCATTGAGCGTCTGTGGAAGGATGGGGGGAAAGACTGATGCCTCGGGAGAGGAGGGAAACTGGGCCTGGCAAGTGCTGGGGAAGAAAGACTTTGTTTATTCTCCTAGTGAACCTGATGAGTTAGGCACCACATGCGTGTGTCTCCTGCAGGGGTTTAATTTGGGGGAAAATACCATTTAGCATTAAAACTTGTTTCCCTGGGCAGCCGCAGAGGCTGAGAGAAGATCTTGCTTAAAAGAGGAAATGAATCTTTGGCAATAGTTGCTCCTAACCAGGCGAGAAAGAGAAACAGCCGCTCAGAGACGGACGTGTGGGCTCAGGAGGAGACGCCAGAGTGTGGCTGCTTCAGAACTGTCTCAAGCTCAGATGAAACCGCAGCTTCTGAGTTTTAGGGGATGTGTCTCCCACCAGTGGTCTTGTGCCTGCACCTCCAGGCTCACCCTGTGTGTCAGGGTAGGTCTGTGTAAGGGCGGCGAGTGTATGCATTGGTTTGGCTTTTACTGCATTTGCAGCAAGCTTTAAAATATGGCCTTCAGAAACGCTTTAAGTAATTGTCAGGTGAAATCCTGAGATTCCAAAGTTGCCTGCTTGGGACATTAATCAAAATAGGAAAAATTCTGTGGGGAAAAAACTCTAGGAAGTATAACTGAAAATAGCAACTGTGCTTTACATGTGTGAGCATAATTGTTGACAACCCCTAAATCCATGGCATCCTAGAGTGCTGTGATCCTAAGCTTCTACTACATGCAAGACGCAGCAGACACCAAGCAAAGTGAAAATGCACAGGAAAAACGTGCCACCAGTTTTTAAAAATAGAAAGAGGTCATTGGAAGCACTCATTTTGTATTTTATTTTCTTATCCTGTACATTATATGAATGTTAGTGACTTACTATTAGAGTTTACTGATAAAAAAGTGGTAATTTTGAGCATTTTCTTTCTAATATTTTTGGACAGCTCTGTACTAAGGGAGTTTCCTGCAAAACCACAAAATGTGCTCTAACATTACTTGTTTTGTGTGTGGCTATTTGTACGGAGAGAGAAGCTGAATCTTCTGGATGAGATTCTCATATTTTAAAACTTTGCTAAAAAGGCAAATTAAGAATTCAGATCTGTTTATTTGCAGGAAGGTAAATATGTTAAGTGAAGACAGTACCATCAAAGTTCCATTATAAGGAAAATGGAAATGGTTATATTATTTGGGTTACAAAGTACATAAATTATTTTCTTAGAAAAATGAATAGGCTTTGAATATGAAGGGAGAAGTAATTATATACTTTTTAAAGCCACTTCCCGCCTCTCTGCCTCAATAGCCCACACCCATGTACCTCCAGCAGTTGATTGTGATGGGACTTATATAGTAAAACCAACAGTTTTGGCTCAAAGAAGTGTCCATTTGTGTTTGTCTTCTGCTAGGAATTTGATCCTGAAGAATTTTACTACCTACTGGAAGCAGCAGAGGGCCATGCAAAGGAAGGGCAGGGTATTAAAACAGACATCCCCAGGTACATCATCAGCCAGCTGGGGCTCAACAAGGATCCTTTGGAAGGTGAGGACCTTGTTGGCTGACCGTTTACTTGCTTATGCGTCGTGACCTCATAGAGGAACTTAGTGACAAATCTGTATTCTTTCCTCAAGTTTTGGCTCTTTTTATTGAAAAGTCCAAATTTGGGGACCAATTGTGATTTGAAAGAAATAGGTACCAGTTGAGCCCTGAGGAGAGAGAGAACACTCCCCACTTTGAGCTTACCTAGAGTATGGGGACCGCCTTCCTGTCCACTTGACAATGCTGGTGCCCCCGGAGGTTTAGATTTCTGTCTTCTGTAAGTATTTTTTTCTCTTGCAAAGCTCAGTTGAGTTCTTTTCAAGGGTACTTTCAATTTTGAAAATGTTGCTAAAGAAATTAATTAGAATTAATATAAAAGTGACATTTAAATTTAAAGTAGCTTGGGGTCAAGGTAACTGATGATAGATTATTTATTTTCAAATATATCTTTATTGATTTCAGAGAGAGGAAGGGAGAGAGAGAGACAGAGAGAGACAGAGACATCAATGTTGAGTCATTGATAGCTGCCTCCTGCACCCCCCCACGGGGGATTGAGCCCACACCTGGCCAGGCATGCCGATTACTTTAAATCAGGTACAGTGTTGGTACTTATGGTTATGTTTTTGCTTACTTGTCCCAAAAAATCCTGAATAATAATCATGTAGAAGAGAGCGAGTGCGGAGGGTGGGGTGCTTCTTAAAGCTTATTTAAGGATTTATGATTGATTCCAGTGAAAAAAACAGGGCTAATGCTATTAAATACAAAGAAGAGGAAACACCCTCTTTGTGATTTTTGAAAAATATAATATTGGGAAATAACTCCTCCCTACCTTTTCCTGCTCTTTATTGTTTGGGATTGTCATTTCAAACATTTCGGTTATGTACTGTCTAAAAAGACTCAAAAACGATCATAGCCTCCTTCACTCAAAATTGCCTTCCTGGTTCATTACAGTGAATTTGCAATCAGTATTTGTCTTGCTAAATTGTTTGTGATGAAGCTAACTGTTAGCACAGACATTTTTCCATCTACAGCCAGGGAACCTGCAGCTCCCTGGCCTGCTCTCCTGTGTGCCCCTGCTTGGTTTGCACTTACGGCCCCCGGATCTTTGCTTCCAGGGAAATGATGCGTGCATTCCTGGGAGATAATGCCAGGAAAATTTATACTGTACTGAAGGCAAGAGCACAACAGACTCAGCACTTATCAGAGACTGGTGGCTGCTGTTCTGAAGAGTTCCCTGGGGAGAGATTTTCCCCCATGGTTTTTAAATTACCATCTTTACCTTTTTGAATCATGAGTCTTCAGAAATGGTTTAAATCAATGGAATAAAAAGGGCAGATGTTTAATGGTATTCAGATGAGTTTTAAGAATCTCTTCAGGCATTACAAAATGATGCCTCAGGTTCCTGCTTCAAAAGCTGACTCTTGGTTCCATCCCATTACTACCCACTGCTTACGAATAATATGTATTTCCCAGATAATAGTTATTTAGCAGAAATTCTATTTAAAACAGAACCATTTTTTAATTTGTTTTTTTATGAAAATAATTGGAGTGGGGGAGGCTGTCAAAGTGTATTATGGTGACTCTTCACGCTGGAGTAGTTAAGGCTGTGTCAGCCCTGGATTGTAGCCTGAGTGAGCTCGTCACAGTTTCCTTACCTGGTGGCAAATTTCACTGTTGGCTGAACTTTGGTGGGTGAATAATCTGAGGCCCAATGATACACCTTCATAGAATCTAAAAAAAGTTAATAGTGATCCTTGACAACTTGTGAGGTTAACAATACGAATTGGTCGCTAGGAGTTGTGTTTTTAATTCGACACAATTTTCTTCATTCATATCTAAGGACAGTTTTTAATTTATTTGTTATCACTTAAAATGTGATGATTACAATCTCCAGTCCACATCTGCTTCCCCTCCTTGTCTCTGGCTACACTGACGTACCTAAAGCCTGACCTTTGAAGGTGAGCAGTGAGGGTCTGGAGTGGGCCTGCCCAGAACTCACCCTGGTAGCCAGCATTGCAGGCTCTGTGACCTTGACCATGTTATTGATGAGCCTGTTTATGCCTCAGTGTTCTTTCCATGAAAATGGGGTAAGTAGTACATGTTCAAAGGGTTGTTTTCAGTATTGTATGAGTTTTTCTCTAGACCCAGGACTTAGTAATGCTTAATAAATGTGAGCAGCTGTTAACATTTTATTTAAACAGTATTAACATTGCCCCTTTCCTGGGAAGCCCCTCCAACTGAATACATTTAAGTTTACCTCGTTCATAAATCTGAAGTGCTGGTCACATAGGATGTTGACAGCATTTGAATGACACCAAGAAAGCATACTGAGTTCATTTTTATTCTTGAATTTTCCCTACAGGGAAACTGGGAAAGTGAGTGTCAGTCTTCGGTTATTGTCAAACCTGGAGTTTATTTTTATCCAAAGACGACACTGCAGTATTGTTTTGCTCTATATCTTTATGTGTAATCTCTCCCCCAAAAAGGGTAATTATATTTATAAGAACATGAATACATGAAAAAGAGTCTAGAAATAATTTTAGATGCATATAAAATATATAACTAAAAACTGTAACTTAGTATACATGTTCAAGCTTGAAAATATTAGAAAGCGCAAATTGTCTGTGATCCTACCTCAGAAGTAACCCTACCTAAGTTTAGGAGAAAATTCTTTCATGTTCGCTTTTTTTTTTTTAATAAAACATGTTTTTTAAGTATAAAAAATCCAATTGAACAGCAAAATGAATTAGATTTGAGTCTTCAAGGATGCATGCCAGTGTGGGTTGAATAATTAGATGCCTTTGTCTCTTTTAACTAGACCACCAGGGTAATACTTAAGCTGGTGTCAGGCATGTAGCCTCCAGCCCAGGACTAAGTACATGATATGTTCAATAATAAATAACCATCAGCATTCAGTGAGCACTTAATTTTTGCTAGTCAACATGCTAATAGCTTCACATGCATTATCATAAGTAATACTGATAAAAAGCTCTAAAAGATATATAGTATTGTTGCCATCTTACAGAGTAAGAGCCCGGGGTTAAAAGGTCACTAGTAAGTGTTGATAGTGGTAGTAACTCCCATCTTTACATCTCCAAACCCCTCTTAATGACTACTTTTACTTTCTTTCTGACAAACTGCACATTCTTAGTGTACTAGGTGGGCTCTTAGTGGACATGATGGAATGGAAGAAGGGATGCTCACCACAACTCAAGAATCATCTCTGAGCTGTAGTCAGTGTCTTTGATGCCTTTCAGAGCCTGGGAAGACTTGCCTCTCTTGGATGTCTGATTATAAGTGTAGTCATTGACCTTAAAACTGGTTCCAGTCTCATTGTATTAGCCTGTGAATCCTGCCAGCTAGAGCTGTGTCAGGGTGTTCATAAGAAATGAGGTTCCATGGGACTACACCAAACTAAAAAGGTTTTGAACAGCCAAGGAAACATCAACAGAATGAAAAGACAACCTTTTGAATGGGAGAACATATTTGCTATGATACATCTGATAAGGAGTTAATATCCAAAATATGTAAAGAACATATAAACTCAACACCAAAAAACAAATAATCCAGTTAAAAAATGAGCAAAGGGCTTGAATAGACACTTCTCCAAAGAGGACATACAGATGGCCAATAGACATATGAAAAAATGCTCAACGTCACTAATCATGAGAGATGCAAATTAAAACCACAATGAGATATCTCCTCACACCTGTCAGAATGGCTCCATCCGTAAATCAACAAACAACAGGTGCTGTGGGTGGGGAAAGGGCAGCCTCGTGCACTGCTGAGGGGAATGCAGGCTGGTGGCTCCACTGTGGGAAGCAGTATGGAGGGTCCTCAAAAAATTAAAAAACAACTGCCTTATGACCCAGTGATTCCACCTTTGGGAATATACCTGAAGAAACCTGAAACACTAATTCAAAAGAATATAGGCACCCCTATGTTCACTGAAGCGTTATTACAATAGCCAAGATGTGGAAGCAGTCCAGTGCCCATCAGTAGATGAGTGGATAAAAAGCTGTGGGGCATTTACACCATGGAATACTACACAGCCACAAAGAAGAAGAATCTCGTACCCTTTGGGACAGTATGGAAGGACCTGGAGCATACTATGCTAAGCGAAATAAGCCAGGCAGAGAAAGACAAATACCATATGGTTTCACTCCTATGTGGAATCTAATAAAATAAACTCACAAACGAAATAGAAACAGACTGATAGTTACAGAGAACAGACTGACAGCTGTCTGGAGAGGAGGTTGTGAGCCTGGTTGAAAAAGGTGAAGGGGTTAAGCAAAACACAAACACACACACACACAACACAAACTCCTGGTCACAGACAACAGCATGGTGGTCACCAGAGGGAAAGGGGGGTGGGAGAAGGTAGAAGAGGGTAAGGGGGATGAATGGTGCTGGAAAGAGACTTGATTTGGGGTGGTGCTAAGAGCACAATACAGGATACAGATGATTTAATAAAAAAGAAACGAGGTTCCGGGGAAGGACTTATAATGAACAATTTCCAAATGTCAGTTGTTGGTTCTTGCCATTTTGAATTTATGGTTTTCCCATGGGTTCATTGGAGCATGGAGTAAATTTTTCTTTTTGTTTAATATTGGAAAACTATTTTTCTATTGTTTCAGCATGTACTCTCGTCTGATGCTATTGCCCTGTTTTTCTTAAACTTTGCTTTTTTTTTTTTTTAAACTTAGAAATGGCTCAGCTAGGAAACTATACTAGTGGGACAGCAGAAACACCAGAAACGGATGAATCAGTGAGTGTGAGTATCTTTCTTGATGAAATATGATGTTGGTTTTTCCGTTCACGGCATCTGGAGATTTTGGCTGTGTTAATTACTTTATTTGTTCAAGAAATATTTATTGTGCATTCCATGTGCGAGGCACTAGGCATAAAATGTTAGCCTCTCCCTTCAAAGAGGAAGGATCTTTGCTTCCAGTGAAGTGATGCATTCATTACTGGAGATAATAAAATTCCAAGAAATCATGCAAAAACAATTATAATGATAAACTGGAATAAGATCTATGAAGAAAAAGGGCCATGTGCTACTGGAACATAACATGAAGAGATTTGCCTTAGTCTTGCCAGTCCCAAAAGATCTTCCAAAGAAGTGACGCTTGAGCTTGAGATGTGAGGTGTTACTACGATGAGAAAGGACAGAGGGAACATTGCAGGCCAAGGGAACATCATGGGCAGAGACTGTGACACAAGGGAGCAGAGTGCACCTGAGGACTAAGAGCAAGGGACACTGCAGAGACTGGAGAGCTTGGTTAAGTACTCGACTCAGAGGTCCTTGTTCATCTTTGTCAGTTTTTTCTTTCAAAGGACAATGGGAAGCTACTGAGCTTTGGAGGAAACATATGGGAATGTGGGATGGAGGGGGTGGTGCACAGGAAGGGGACCCAATCTGATTACAGCTTGAAAAAAATCACACTGCTTACAGGGGGGCAGGCAGAGGTCACCATGGGGACGCCAGTTAAGAGGCTGACGCAGGGGCTCGGTGAGGGGCCCTGGGTGCTGCTGCTATTCTCCCTGGTCCTGAATGCCAGAGAGGGATCGGGGTGGAGCAGGTTGGGGGTGGTCGGGAAAGGGGCAGCCTCGTAGCCTAAGAGTCCAGGCTCTGGAGTCATGTTGCTAGGCTTGAAACCTCGCCCCACCTCCGACTAACAGTGGGAATCTCTGTGCCTCAGTTTCTTTATCTGCGGAATAGATATAAAAGATTAAATGAGATAGTTTGTGTAAAATGGTAGGACGGCAGCACATAGTCAATGCTAAATAAATGGTAGCGGGCTTTGTTTATTTTATTATAACTGTCATAATTTTGAATGTATTGAGACTGAAGTTCCTTTGAGACGTCCAAGAAGAGCCATCAAACTAGCAGCTGTATATAGGGCGTGGTGTCTCCTGGCACTTGGAGGAGGAGTGTTAGGTGGATTTAGGAGTCATCTATGGGCATAACTGAGGTCTCTCTCGGGTAGAGAGGAGTTAATGAGGCAAGTTGGTCCCAGTTTTGAATTATATTTTCTGAGATGGAGCATTAGCAGGTGATGACTAGACCCAGGTCCTTGGCCTCCAGCCAAACAGAAGGTAGGGGAGAGAGTTGGTTGGTTGAGTTGAGGCCAAGTAGCCCAGAGGCAAGGGTGTTGGGTGAGTTGTCCGTGTAGACTCCGCAGTCACCCAGATGGTGAGAGAATGTGGGCAGAAAGAAAGGTGGGAAGCTGGATACCTAAGTCTTCCAGAGATGAGCACATGACAGAGTCAGCGGATGACAGCTCTGAATGGGGGAGGATGGGGGTTCCTCCAAAATTATAGGGAGGGAGTTCTGGGCTGTGCAAAAGGAGCAAAGAGGCTGCTAACAACCTCTCAATGCCAAGAATACATGGGGTATGAGAAAAAAAATTTTTTTGAACACTTTACTTGTTCTTGTCCTTTGAACTAAGCTTTTTATAGAGCTCTTTTTGAATATTGATATCTAAACCATGGTAAGTCATATGGTATGAAATTAAAGACAGACAGACGTTCTATATTTGGGTGTCCCATTCATTGCTGGGTACCTTTTCCAGGAAAGAAAGGCTGCCCAGGCGTGAAAGAGATGTGGCCAGGGACAGAGAAGCCACAGCCTCCATCTGCCCCTGGGCAGCCACGCTAGCCCATTATTTTCTGGCCAACTGAAACCAGAAGGAAGGGTTGGCATTCTGAACCTAAATCTCAAACTTTAAAAGACTAGGATGAAACTATCCTGCATAGTTAATAGAGGCGAATTAAAATCAGGAATTTTCAAAAGCTTGGTGCTTTCAGCTCCTGGAAATGTGGATTCAGTTAAGTGAAACTTGGGCACTGCTCTGGAAAATCCGTCTTTAAAGCTGTCCCCAGGTTCCTTTGCTAGAATGCAGCACTTCAACATATATTAAACAACAGAGCCTGTAATTCAAATATTATTTATTTGGCTGTTAAAATCATGTTCTTGAATTCTCAACTGTTGTTTAACTTCCATATTTTGTTTTCAAGAGCTCTAATGCTTCCCTGAAACTTCGAAGGAAACCTCGGGAAAGTGATTTCGAAACGATTAAGTTGATTAGCAATGGAGCCTATGGGTGAGTAATTCAGGGAAACACTGTTGTATTTTGACACACTGGGGTACTGTGTCCTTCACATTTATCTTATGCCGATAGATGTTGTACGTGGACTTTAGAGTTCAGATCACCGCTCCTTCATTGATCGGCATAGAGTGCAGCCAACACCGTTTTTCACTGGATACTTCATTAGAAAACATATCAGGTGACCTGAGAGTTATTTTAGAGACAGCCTATCAGGTGGCCAGAGAGGATGACTTTAAAAGTAAAAATTTATAAAGTAAAGAAAAAATTTTATATATGCCTGCTTCTGTCTCCTTTATTCTGCCTTTGTGGGTTAGAAGTAACTGTGTTGGCTGACATACACACCTAGATATACCTGTGCATCTGAATATATATATTAGCATCTTGATAAAAATATATATGTATAAATTCATATATAGGGTTACTGCTTGAGAATTAGCCAGTACTTCCTGTGTGACCAGCAGTCAGCCTAGTAGAGAAGTATTTAAATAGAAAGGCTGGTTGAAAATTAAGAGCAATACACTTCTTCTTTTAGTCTTTATATTACACAAGGATTGTTTTTCAGTTGAACTCTGTTATAATCTGATGACATTAGCGGTCCCTCTTCCTTAATCCATTTTTATAGACATGTGACTTCAATCTCATGGCAAAGGGTCAACTGTGACATGATCCTTCTGCGTTACTAATAAATAGTTTAAAAGGGTAATTAATACACAAACGATGTCCTGATCCATTTTCAATGGCCCAAGAACTCTAGTTTAATTAAGTATTAATCCCAGTTCCATCTGTATATGGAAAGCAATAAACAACCTCCTAGACATTTATTGCCATTTATCACACAGTGAGCAGATGAGATAAAAGTGATTTTTGTTGTGCCACAAGGGATGTTTCTCCTTACTGGTTTTTTTTACCTCTGATATTTTCCACACCATTAGCTTAGTGAAGAACCTAAATATTTGTGAGTCCTTCCTGTGCTTCACTGACTTACTCTCAGGATTATGCCAAATGGCATATTTCCTGATGTGGCTTATAAATGTTCTCTGATGAGGGGCTTTTGTTGTTTGTTTTGTGTGTGTGTGTTTGCAATATTTTATGTCCTTGAAGAATCTCATTGAAACTTTTCTACCTAAGAACATTGTTTTAGCATGCAGTTGTTTGTGTTTTGTTTACTATTTGTTTTTAGTTTTTTATTAGTTTTGGAGACCCTGTGAGGATTTCTTCCTTCATTAGGGAGAAGACTGGACTTCCATATAATGGGTCTGTGGACTTGAGCACTGTTAGGTTGAATTGGCAGTGGAATTCTGGAAAAGATTATCCGTGAGGCACCATTTTTATAAAGCATGGGCATAGACCTTAGCGGTAGTTGGAGTTCTAATTGGTTGAGTAAACTCATTTGTAGTGCAATTAAACCACTGTATAGTAGATGAGGTATATCACACTTTGGGGAATGGCTGGGAATATACAAGAAGTTAAACAAGCTATGAATCAGTAAATACCCAGGATGCCGGCCAAGTCATTAATGGGCTCACAAGCTGCCTGCAGGAGCCTCTGCCAATCAACTGCAACTTTTTTTTCTCTTTGGCTCTTCTCAGATTTAATCTCACATTACATTTTTGACTGCTTTCCCTTATGTATTAATTATTTCCCATTTGAATTTGAATGGAGCTGCACCCATTGGCCCACCCAGCCGAGATGCTGATTGCAGGCCCCTGTGAGCTGCTGAACATTGGGTCCCTCTGTGGGAGATGCTTGGAGCTCTCGGAGGCTTTCGTAGGCATCTCTGTGACAGGGTAGCACTCACATAGTGACTCACAGCGACGCTGATTTTGAAAATTGGTAATGTTGGGAACTAACCCTCTCATTAGGAAGAGCTTCCTACCTGTCATGCTAAAACACGCCGTGGTTGTCTCAACATCCTGTTTAGTGACAATCCGTGTTATAAAGCCAACTTGCTAATTTGATTCCCATCTGATTTCCTTCTCTGTTCAGCGCGTCTCAGAGGCCTGACTGGAAGTTAAGCGTCCCTTCATGGCCATGTGGCACTTTGTAGAAAGCCAGCGCTGTGTGCCGGGCACGGGCGGGCTCTTGATCTGCGTTCTGTCCCACGGGGCCCCGAGAGGTGGTCCACGCCCCTCCTCTTGGCTGTGGGGAAGGGGCCCTGAGCGGAGCTCTCTTCTGACCTGAAGTGTTCTTTTGCTCTAACCCCTGGCCGTCTTCATTGGGGTGTCTAGGTCTTTGGGTGAGCACTTGCACTTGGATTTTTAAATTACAACTTTGAATGTTTTTAAAGTGAAAGCATAAAATTGACTAAAAATTTTAAAAAGTAAAAAAAAAAAAACACTAAACCTGAAAGGCACAGCGTTTCTTCCCCACGTTGCTTTCCTTTCTGGCCTCGACGCCCTTGTCCTCTTATACCCCTCAAAGGTCAGATGTGCCAGGTGACAGGTGCCCCGTCCTGCACATTCTGCCCCCGTAGCCTCTCCTCCCAGCTTTCCTGCAACACACGCACTTTCTTCCCCACATGCAGATTTGCTTGCACAGATTCCTGTATCCGGCTCTCAGATTCATGCATAATTTTATACGCCTTCGCCATTCACACTCCCGCTAGGACTGATTCATTCTGCTCCAGATCCTGGCAGCACCTGATTCCCCACCTCCCCCCTCGGTCCTGCATGGTGGAGTGGAGCTCGGCTAGGGAGAGCCAGGGCCCTGGCTGCCCTGCTCCCCGCATCACCTCCACCCTGACTTTTCCTGCTTCTTAGGGAGCTCAGTCTAGGAAAAGAGAGACAGAAACAGTCCTTTCAAAGAAAACCACCCTGGGGGCCAGAAAGCAGAGATGTGGGGCTGAATCCCTTCACTCCAGTTTTATCATCTTGGGAGGTTTACCGCTCTGCTTAACAGTGTTAGAGGTCTGTCTGTTGGCTTCCATGTGTCTGCCTCTCTTTGTTTCTCCTTTTCAATCTCTCCCTTCCTCTCTCTCCCTCCCTCCCTCTCTCTCTGCTGACTTAAAGTAGCTTTGGAACACTGATTGATTAACAGGAAAGAGGAAAGGTATATGTGAAAGATGACAATTATTACTAAATGAACAAATGTCAGCACTAAGAATAATATTCCTAAAGCAGCACAAAAATGTAAAAAACGACGAACATAAGACAAAATAAACAAAAATCCAGCTACAGCAAATTCTAATTAAGAAGTCTAGCTGATTTCTGCAACTTGATGTGTGTCCTAAGGCAGCGATATGTAAGCTACGTATAGGATTATTTTCACTTGGTTTAGGTAAATTTCCCTCAGGATTAACTGATTACTTTAAGTACATCATACCAAGGGAAGGCAGAAAGTCAGATGAAGTTTTATGAACTCAAAATCTGGGAATAAAGATTGTAGCAGTTTTTCACACAGTGCCACCAAAACCTAGTCAAATTGGGCCTGAGGCTGGGTTCTTGTTTGTTTTCTGTAAGATTGTTCACAACAATTCCATTCTTCTTCCTCTCCTTCTTGTTGCTCTCAAACATATTGCTGAACAGTTATTTATGTAAGAAATGGCGATGCTTGATTGGACATCAAAACAGCAACCTTCTGAGACTCTAACAGTGAAGTTAGTGATATCGTATGTCTGAGTCCTTAGCACTAAGCCTACTGAATATTAAATATTGAAAGGAGAGATGGATAGTGAGCTCTATGCCAGTTACTCCCCAGAACAGGCAAGTGATAATATAGAGATACTATCTTTTAACATTTTGAATTCCAAAGTTCATTAAAAATAGATTCTCTATTTCAAAAATCCCTTTTCATGACAGTATTTGTTTACCAGTGCTTGTCTTACGTTGAAGGTTAGGCCAAGCTGTCTCCTGGGTAGGAGAAGCTCAAATTTTCTTTGGATTTTGATTTTATCCAATCAATAACTGAAAAAAGAAAAATACTATAACAGCCTTTCATCTGATTTAGAAACACTGAGTAGTGAGTTGGTTAACTAAAGAGTTGGAAATGATTAAAAAGTGATATGTACTTTAAACATTTTAATTTAACCCAAATATATGTGAATTCACTAGTCTTTTCATGTAACACCTTCTTAAGACAATCACTATGAACCATGCTTATCACACATTGTTTCTGTTTTCCAGTTTTAAATTAACTTCTTCTAAGGTGAGGAACTTGAAGCAGTCTGAATGCAGGAATCTGGATTTTTATTATTTTCTTGACTTTTGGAACCCTTTTTCACCCATACTACAGCAATAGGAATTATATTTAGTAACTTACTTTCCAAAACGTTCTGTTCAGTGTTATTATAAACAGCAATACTTTTCCTTTTCACCCTTATATTTCATCAGTTTAAATATTTGGTGAAATTAGTTCATCATGATATCAAGCCTCGCCAGAAAAACAGGTGTGGAAGTAAGCGCAGCCGCTGGGAAGCCAGCTGGGGGCGTCCTGGAGCCCACGCGGAGAGCGCGAGCACCCAGCTGCCAGGCCCGCCCGGGTCAGTGTGTCGCGCCGTGGAAATAACCAGGCCATTCCTCGGCCTGGTGATGTCGAGAATGGTTAAGAGAGCTTTTTAGTATAAAGTAAAGAGGTAGAAGGCCCAGGAAATGATGGGAGAAAAACAAAAAAGAGTAATGTTTAAACAGAGACCCAAAAATGTGTAATTTTGTGAATAAATGGATAAGATGAGGACAAAAAGAAGAATAAAATAACGATACACATACATGAAAGCAAAATGAACTCCTAGTTGAACACTTCAGGGGAAAATGTGCATATCCATTAAACCAAGATTGAATATACTTAGGATTTAGGTAAGCGGACCACCCTGGTGCGTTGGTTCAGCAGGAAATAGGGCGTCTTAGTCCCCCTAGAGTCATTTCAGGGACAGTGGAAGTAACTAGTGGAAAATGCACCTCAGATCAGATAGCCCCTTGTTTTAGGAGGCAGACCACTACTGGGAGTGACTGCTTTTAGGTAAATTACTTATTTGATCATTGCATTTGTCGCAGGGCAGCCTCACGTAACCTATTACACAATTCTAATGACTGATGGTCCTTCAGGTAGATGATTCCTTATCTGAGCATCGCCCAGCTTGGGAGCTCAGACCTGCTCGCCCACAGTAATGGCAAGTGGGGAGTAAGTAATGAGAGAAGGAGCCAGGGCAGGGCATTTTCTCCTTCCTCCTCATTTCCAGGTGGGGCTTTCAGGCTCCTCCCCCTAATCATTCCTTTTCTCCACATCATGCGAAGCTTCAGGGCGTCCAGTGCAAGGTCATGTGGAAGGTAAATCAGTCCCTTCGACAGAGTATTTGGGCGAGGCTTTTGGCACGATCCAGCGCAGCCTACTCACTTTACAATAAAGTTGCCTGACACCTTGGCCACGGGTTGGATGGGGCAGAAATCAGTGTATTATTGGCCCGCTTTTGTGTTGGGAAATGCATTTCCTGTTGGACCAGGCACAGGTGTTACTCATACCAAGGTTTGTAGTGAGGAAATACACCATTCTTTGTTGTGGGACAGTCTTATGTGACCTATTACACACTTCTCAATTCCTCTCAAATTGGAAGCCAACTATTCTAAGAAGCTATGGTCCTTTTGCAGATTCTAAGGGTATCATATAAAACATATTTGCTGTAGTCAGTGGAGAAAAAATGCCTAACACGTCTAATGCTAGGAAGGCTCTTGCTCTCATGATCTGTATGTACTTTTGTTAATTCTTGCCTGTTCTGACTTCTGTATTGGATTTTGTCTTGTCTGTGGAACAACTGAAAACATCAGGTAGCTATTGGAAAGTAGCCCACTCTGGAGACTGCCCCTTTCCTTCCTTCAGCAGTGAAGGTGGATTTGATGTCTTATGTATGAACTGTGATCTTTATTGAAAGAATTTTTAAAAAAAATCAATCTAGCCAAAGGCTCTTGGCCTGGAAGGGATGTTTGTAGCTGTCGGCATAGCTTGTGTGAGTTGAATTCTGGCTGGCGTGTGAACTTAAAAGTTGATCTCATGGTTTGCTGTACCCAGAAGCACCCTCTCCGCCCGTGAACCCTGACTCTCGTGCTCCTTTCCAGGGCAGTCTACTTTGTTCGGCATAAGGAATCCCGGCAGCGGTTTGCCATGAAGAAGATCAATAAGCAGAACCTCATTCTCCGGAACCAGATCCAGCAGGCCTTCGTGGAGCGCGACATCCTGACTTTTGCGGAGAACCCCTTTGTGGTCAGCATGTACTGCTCCTTTGAAACAAGGCGCCACTTGTGCATGGTCATGGAGTATGTGGAAGGTAAGTCAGCCTGACATGGAGAACATGACACCTGGACCCAGACCCTCCCCGCTCATGGCGTGGCTGAAGCTCTCTGTGTTTGGGCAACAAATGTTTGTAACCACCCAGGAACCAAGCCAGGCAGTGAGATGGCTGTCTTCCCAGTCATTATCTTGTGATAATTGCTTGTAAAGGGGCTGTTCTGCTCTAACAAAGGGAAAATTAGTGCTATTTGGAAAAAGGTTTTTCTTTTTTAATAGCTTTTAATCCTCACTATCTCCTCTCAGTTGGTCATTAAAGTTAGAATATAGATGATGGGATTTTTCTGCTTATTTTTATCACATATCATAAAAGCATTCATTACAATTGATCTCTTAAAGAATGAATTAAAAGTATATCCTTTTAGCACTCTCCTTCTGGGGAGCACACCCATGCCTTCCCCTTCCCGTTCTCCTTCCCCTTCCCCTTCTCCTTCCCCTTCCCCCCACAGGCGTGCATCTCCTAAACTCTAAGGGTCCCCACGAGACTTGCAACCAGGGGAGCAATGGGCAGCGGCAGCTTGTCCCAGGCTAACCTCTTGAACCTGTCTCCAAGGCCCCTTTTCTCTGACTTTGCAGTAAGCTGACAGGAGCCCTACCTTGGCTCACTTTTGTCACTGTGACCTTTACTCCTCAGTGAGCCAGAGCAGCCCCGCCTAGGCTCTCTCCTGTTGCTTCTTCTGCCCTAGGCCTTTCCTTATTTCACTGTCCCCAGCTTTAATAAACAGACTCTCAAAATTAAAAAGTATATCCTTTCTGGCCTATAGTAGGAAATTAACAGTGAGGGGAAAGGAGATACATTTCAGAAACTCTAGCTCCTTTTTTAGGTTTGTGGTCTACCTCTTAAGTGCTCCAAGTAATCTTATTTTCATCAATTTTACATGACGTTTATGAATATTTGAGTGGCTGTGACTTGTTGACATAAGCAGTTAATAAAATGAATTGATCAGCAAGGGCCAAAACAATTTTTAAAGCATCTAATTTAAGCTCTTATAATTACAAGAGAATCCCAAAGCTGTAAAACTAGAAAAAAACATTAAATATCATTTAGTTCGACCTTTTTATGTTGCAGATGAGTGAACTGAAACCCAAGAAGGGGGGAGACTTACTAGATAGTTAGTGGTAGATATAAGACAAAAATACAGCTTGCCTGATTTTCACCAATTGGTCTTTTTACCGCACTGGTACTTTGCTTTATTGACCTTTGTTATGGTTATTTTAACAGCTAACATTTATCACGTGTTTAACGTGTGTTGGCAGTGTCCTCAAGTCTTTACACAGATGACCTCATTTAATCTTCACAGTAATCCTAAGAGGAATGACACTCTCCTGATATTCCTGATGAAAGAACCAACATGAGTTTCCCTAAGACCTCCCCACCTGTAACCGTCAGAGACTAGGATCTGAACTCAGGCAGCCTGATTCTAGAATCCGTGTTTTATACTGGCATATTTTAAATCGTCACCATGTTCCTGAAATTATGCTAGCAGTTTTTCATATTTCAGTTCCACATCAGAGCCAAACCTGATCTCTAATGAGTACTTCCTCTAGAATAAAAATCTGTATTTTCTCCACACCACATCTTAATTAGAAGCATGATTACTTAACACACAGTCTCCACTTGTGAACATGCTGTGCTGTGTCCGGGGGTGCAGGCCATCCCCTTTGAGATTCTGCCGTCTAAACGGAATGTCTCCTTCAATCCTCGCTGGTACTGTACCTGCTTCACTTCTTTGTGTCCTAGGGGGTGACTGTGCTACGTTAATGAAGAACATGGGTCCTCTCCCTGTCGACATGGCCAGGATGTACTTTGCTGAGACGGTCCTGGCCTTGGAGTATCTGCACAATTATGGGATTGTCCACAGGGATTTGAAGCCAGACAAGTATGTACAGTCATGAAACATGCCTTTTAATACAATATAAAAGCTCCTTAGGTCTATAAAACTAATTTCTTTTAATGCTGTTTTGCACATTTTAAAACCTTGCCATAATGTGCCCAAATGTATTATTTTAAATGAGTTATTTTACCATAATGAGTATATGTGGTAATCTTTTAAAGGCTGTGATGCTGATTATAATGGCTTATAGGAAACAAAAGAAAAAGGTGATTTTTATGCCAGGGTTAGGTAATTTTTAAAAAAGCTTTATTCTGTAAACTTTCGAATAGCTACATGGACTGCTACTAGTTTTCTGGATAGTTTCTGCATTTGGTATCATGCTGAGGTAATCCTTTTCTATGGAAAGATGACATACTTGCTATTATATTCTGTTTTACTCATAATTTAAAATTTCTTAATCTAGCTAGAGTTCATTATGGTGTCTGATTTGAGATACTGATAGACTGTTTTTCTCCAAATGACTATTCATCTTGACACCACTTACTAAATGTTTCATGCTTTCTCCACTAATTTGAAAAGCCTCTAAATGCATTACATGTTAATATGTATAGCTTTTATGTGAGCAGAAAATTGTATGATTTTGGAAATTGCAGGAAAACATTTTTCTTTAAATATTTTTTGTAATGCACAACATGTCCAAGCAAAGACGACTGTTAGAATTTTAGCATATTTCCTTTCAGTAGCTCCCCCCCCCAACTTCTCTATTCCTTTAATTTTTAATTAATTGAAATTTTGATTTTTCCCCTAAAATGAAAATTTTTAAACATGTAAACTCATAAAGCTGTCAAATGTGAATGTGTTGCATGTGTAAGAAATGTTTTGTGCTTAATGAGTAGAGATTCAGATTCAAGCCAGAAGTTGAAATCTGAAACAATACTACATTTTCCAGGCCCAGTTCCTTATCTTAGGTCTCGTTTGAGCCACAGATGGGTTGCTTATCTTAGTTTCTGATGCCTGACGTGGTACACTGTTGGTAGCCCTTTCTCTTCTTTTTTCTTATTCTGAAAATAGATGTCAGAGCTCCACACTTGAATTTTCTGAGTTTCAGGCTGTAGATGGTATTGTATACGGCGGCTTCAGCGAGGAGGAGCTGGGCCTGGTCTCCGGCCCTCCCTCGAGAATTACACTCAGCTGCCAGATGCACGTATTTGACGCTTCCCCGTGACTTTCTCTCTTCCCAGGCTGGGTTTCTAACAAGGTTGACACTTATATACTAAATAGTCTTACAGTTGACAAGAGGAGGGAAAGAGCAAAGAAAAAGGAATGCTTTTCAAAGCGAGTGTTGTAATATATGTCCTTCTGCTTCCTAGTTTGTTGGTCACCTCCATGGGGCACATAAAGCTGACAGATTTTGGCCTCTCCAAGGTGGGCCTGATGAGCATGACCACCAATCTGTACGAGGGGCACATTGAGAAGGACGCGCGCGAGTTCCTGGACAAGCAGGTGAGCGCGCGTGGGCGCGGGCCTGCGGAGAGATGCCGCCCGCGGGCTTGGGAGGCAGCGCCCGTCCTGGGGTTGAGATGTCTGTACCAGCCTCGCGTTTAATAAAGTGCGAATGGCCTCTGCTTCTCTCCCCGGGCCTCTTGGAACTGTCCGTCCCTCCCCATTCCTCCCCCGCCATTATGGTCTATTAGCAAGACGAGCGGCCTAATTGCCCGCCAGTGAGCGCGAGGGAGACAAATGGGAAGCTGCTTTGGAAGGAGCGCGGGAGTCTCAGTGGAGCACTCGGGAAACTCAGGACGCATCGGACCGCGCGGCGCTAAAACCCCAGCCACGGCCCATTTCCCTTCCAGCATGCCTCATTACCATGTGCCCACAATCTGTTCATTGTGAAGTTACTTACGGTAAACACATCTCAACTGCCATGCTTTCATAAAGTAGCCAGGATGTGAATATATTTTGGCCATATAAACGCTAAAACTATCTGAGAGTGACACATAGAAAAAGGCATGATTTTAAATTTAAGGATTACAAATGTTTTTAATATTGAAAAACAGGTAAAATTACCAAACAGGGCCAAGTGATCGATTTGAAGTGGCTCATTACAAATAGTTAGACTTCAGAGTAGAATTTTAAACTCCCCTTCTTTGGTACTTAAATAATTTATTGCCCTGGGTATTGGGGATGCTGACTTACAATTGCTGTTCCTAAATTCTTTGTCCATGTGGTTCCATGTGGTTGGGCAGGTGCACTCTGGGCAAAATAATTGATGTTTAGCCCTCTTGTTCAATTTAATTTCTGTCCAACGTTTCAATTACTCTAATATTGCAATCATCTCTCAGGTCTGCGGCACGCCTGAATACATTGCACCAGAAGTGATTCTGAGGCAGGGCTACGGGAAGCCTGTGGACTGGTGGGCCATGGGGATTATCCTCTATGAATTTCTGGTTGGATGCGTGCCATTCTTTGGGGACACTCCAGAAGAGCTATTTGGACAAGTCATCAGTGGTAAATATCATCAGGAGTTAGCTTTAAGCCACCATTGGGAAGCAGCTATTTCATGTAATTTTATGAAGTATCGCCGTATTTACTACTAAAATGTTAACCTTTGTCAAACAGTTTAGCCAGCAGATGAAAAGAACTCACTCATCATCACACATAACTGACTTTCACAACACCCAGAGAGCAATTTGGGCTGAAAATCGAGCCGAGGAAGTTCTGTTAACATGGAATTTGGAAATGTGCTGGCAGCGTAACCGGTTTTTATGGCACGCTTTTTCTGCAAAAGAAATTGGTGTGGGACTTGCAAATGAGTTCCTTGCTGTCCAGTCCTCCTTTCTATAACAGCAAAGTTGCACCAGGGAAGAGAGGGTTAATGTGGGTAACATTTACAGAAATGGGAAAAATGGCTAAAGGCACAGTGAAGAAATTAACAAAAGTATAATAAATCCTAAAATAAATGTCTACCAAATAATAAATAATGAGAATGGGAAGGCAGCAAATTTAATCCACAGATTGCTAATGATTTCATTGGTAGTTGTTACAGTGTAATGTTATTTCTGTAACAGCTGTTCATCTTTCATTTAAAATTCAATAACCTTTAGATCTTAACCCTCAAGCTGACCCTAACTATTATTATGTGGCTCTTGGCAAAATGAAATGATAATTAAATAGGCTCTATTACTACCCTACCTGCTGTTTTTATAAATTTCCCCTAAGCATAGATCAAAAAGGCCTCTTTTTTTCAGTTTGTCAGTCATTACTGACATCTCTATCACCTACCTCTAGTCCACTCTGGACTGTGCTTATGGGATCCAACCGTGGAAATGGGGGGAACGTTCATTTTTGAAGCCCTTTAACCACAGCATTATTTTCTGTCATTAACTTTGCAAGTCAGGTGTATATGTAAACTTCAACAAAGTAGATTTGTGAGTTGCCTGCAGTGAATAACCCTTTTATACAATATCTTAGCTGTTTATGGATTTATAACTAGGCTGTTTTCTGGTATACCAAGGCCTGAATGGCAAGAGGAATCAACTGTTTAATTAACACAAGCAGCAAATGCTGGCTTTGTTCTCCATGCCTTACGGCTCAGATGCATATTCATGTTTTATTTTCCAAATCAGATTTAAACTACAGCAGAGGAAGCTAGAGGCAGGCACGCACAGAAATAACTCATGTTTTTATTGCATTTCCACGCACGCATGCATGCACACCTATCTTCAGGCAAACGCCTTTAGAATGTAGAACACAGTCTAATATTTCGGACAGATTTTAAATACTTCCATTACTATATTACTTTGGATTTTTTTCTTCTTCCTCAGTGTTAGCATTTTGACCTTTCCTTTGTCTCTGGCAATAGTTATTTTTACAAAATTACTTTTTGCTTCTTGGAGCTGCAGAACTCTATGGCTGAGGGTAGTACGAGAGAAAATCTACTCAGATGATCCCCAGATGGGTGACCACCTGAAATGCAGGTGTTAGAGTTTCCACTCTATTGAGTCCTTTTAATAACTAGAAAGAGCAATTTGTTGTGAGCCAGTTCCGCCAAAGAAAAATCAATCGAAAGGCAAATGAAAGATGCCACTTATTGAAGTGGTCCCTCCCTGCCTTGCTGAGAGCTGAGCTCTTCATGTCTTGCGAAACAATGCTTCTAAAACTTGCCTGAGCCTAGGCATCAACTGGTGATCCTGTTAACATGCATTTGCTGATTCAGTAGGTCTGGGGTGGGGCCCGAAAGTCTGCATGTCTAACAAATTCCCAGGGGATGTCCATGCTGTTGGGACATGGACCGCCATTGGAGCAATAATATTGTAAACAACTTCTCTTCCTTCTAGATGAGATCAACTGGCCTGAGAAAGACGAGGCACCACCGCCTGATGCCCAGGATCTCATTACCTTGCTTCTCAGGCAGAATCCCCTGGAGAGGCTGGGAACAGGTTAGAGCACATATGTTTTAATTTTGCTAATATGCAAGAAATAATGTCTACGTGGAACACTCAGAGGTTTGCGTTTGTCTTTTTTTTTCTTGCATAGGAAACATCTGTTAGTTGATGTAGAACATGACCACAACACATTATAACAATAGTATTCTGGATTTTTTTTCTTCTGATTCAGAGCAGTACATGCACTAGAAGCATTGGGTGCTGTTGTTTGTCTTTGCTGTGTGTGTGTGGTTTTTTTATTGTTTTGCAAAGCAGAAATTATTCTTAATTTGTTTCAATGAGTAAAATTTCTCTGGAAGAAAACCTCAATGGGCCATGTAGCTCTTCTGTCCTGAAATGCATGCATCTTAAATAATTTGAAACTGAGGATTAGAAATGTGGAGCTTTTGTTGTTTGGAGTTTTTTTTAAAAATCTGTACTCCCAGAAGGATTTGACCCAGCTTGTTACTGTCTACAGGCTTTGAAACGGGTTGTCAGTTCTTGAACTGATTACCAGGAATGAGCGCCTGGGGTTGAACCGTGCTGTCCCATCGTGATGATCAGCACCAGGGCCCAAGAAAGAGGGTGAAAACTATTGACTCTCGGGATTAAGGACATGACAGATTTGTTAGTTGCTGATTATTTTTCCTGATAGCTCTGCTACCAGTTTTTTCTTTCTGCTTCCTCTTTCCCTTTTCTCCCTTACATTCTGAATAGACAGATTTAGAGATACCAAGAGAGAGTCCCAGCCTGCCCTACTATGTGGATTTATGTAGATGAGACTAAGTCTTAAGTATAAACATACCACACACACAGTTAGACAGTAGTCACAATTGCCATCAGTAAAAATTGGCTTGATGGGTTGCTTACTGAGCTGTTTCATTCTACTACATTTTAATAGAAATATCAGAAAACTTGGAAGAAATTAGTCTTTCCCTCCTTTTTTCCAAGACAAAAACCATTTGCAGCAGCTCCATATATTTACCTTATGATGTTCTCCACATTTGCCTGTAGTTTCTCTAGTTGGAGGGCTCTGTTCTGTTCTTGCTAAAGTATGGAATGCAAATAAAGATTTATTGAAATGCAGAGATGCCATCCGTTGACATTGTCTATGGCTGCCTTCATGCTACAGTGACAAAGCTGAGTAATCATGACAATCTGGATGGCTGACAAAGCCTGAAATATTTACTCTTTGGCTCTACAGAAAAACCTTACAGACTCTGAGTCAGAGAATCGGTTTAAAAGCAGGGCTCAGTTGGGAAAACTGTCTCGAGTGGCGCCTCTCACGGGAGTCCCGTGCGCCTCTTTGCCTTTTTCAGAGGATGAGTGCCTTAAACTAGGGAAGGCAAGTCGGTGGAAGGTGAGGGCGCAGACGCTGCAGTCAGGCTGAGTTTGAACCCCAGCTGTAGCTCAGTTGGTTAGAGCATCGCCGCGATACACCAAGGTTGCGGGTTCGATCTCGGGTCAGAGCATATACGAGAATCAGCCAGTGAATAAATAAATAAGTGGGACAACAAATCAATGTCTCTGTCTCTCTCAAGACATCAATCAATCAATAAAAGTTATAAATCTCAGCTGCGTGACCATGGGCTGGTTATTTCCCTTGCTGTGCCTCACGTCCTCTGTAAAATGAAGCGTGTAGCAGCACCTCACAGGATCATTGCGAGGATACGAGGTCACCCACTCTGGCTCTTGAGCCAGGTGTGACCGCCGCTGCTGGCATTGTCCTTTTCATTTTCTGCATGTGTCGTCATGCTTCCCCTTTGGACACATGAGACACAGACGGGGTGGTGCCCCTACCTTCGAGCTGATTGAACTCTTTGAACAGAGTCCTTTCCATTTCTTTTCTCTCTGTCTGGCTTTTCTCTTCTCTGAAGTGACTAGCAAACTTGTTATTTCCCACCCTGTGTGACCTGCTGTTGGATGTGCTTCATGGGTCAAGAGATAAGAGTAGCTGTCAAAGACTCGGTGTCAGGGCTCCTATGGGGCAGAGTTTTGAGGAGTGATCTTTGCTCGCTTGAGCCAAATATGAAAAGCAGTGGCATTTTAAGATTGCCCTGCAACGGTACACATATCTATTTATATGTCCCAGTCAACTGTCCCGAGGAACTGTTGTCTGAGGTACGACTAAAATCTTACTATAATCAGCCCGCCCCTTCTAAAGAGTCCCCTTCCCTTCAGTGTTCCTGTGCCAGTTTGGAGAGTTTTCCACTTAAAATTCTGCCCACTTCCCTCCTGGAAGAATACTTGGGTTCTTGATTGAATTTGATTTAATGAGACAGGGCTACGATGATGGTCAGCACGTCATGTTTATATATTACGTGCTGCATATTATCTCCGCACATTTCCTCCTTGACTGCTGCCTTCGGTCTTTTCAGGCTCGACAGTTTGAGAAACATATCTCCTAGCACAAGCTCAAAAGAGACCTTTGAAAGACCCTGCCCCAGCTCTTAGCATTGTCAAGAAGTGCTTGCTGGTAGGGCTCAGAGGCCGAGGCTGAGAATCCCGCAGGCCTGCCATGCTGTGTCCAGTGACAGCATTTTGGATTTAATGCATATTTTGCGGGGAAAATAATGCACCATGAAAATGTGTGAATGCATTTTTGCCCGAGAGACTAGGGAGGCTGAGAAAAGGAGTGTGAAGAACATAATGGATGTTCAAGGAACTTCCATGAAAGGAGAGAAAAAGTCAAGGGACAACATTAGGGCCAAAGCATAACTTGCAGTTTGGGAACTTGTTGAACTTGAACTGGACTTTTGAACTTGTAGAGTATTGAGTGACAACCTGGCTCATTGGATTTCAGAGCTGCTCAGATGCGACTGACTTCCACCCATGTACCGTGTATTTCCACATTTACTGGGGATCCGGAGTGGTTTTTTCAGTGCCCTGAATCTCAGTTTTCTAATCTATGAAATGGGCACGTTATACACCTCACAGGAGTATTGTGAGGACTGCATGGAAATGTGTTCACGAAGGTACCTAGTCCATTGACCTAGTACATAATAGGAATACAGGAAGCTTTCGGTTTCCCTCTCTACCAGTAAATTTTTACAAGAGCTGTCATTTGCATGCATCCTGTGTCCTATGATTTGAGTCTGGCTCATAACGTTTTTGTCTTTATTGTGCCAACAGTTTAGCCCAGAGATAATTTTACCCCAGTGTGTCCTTTTCATTTTTTTGTTCCCTATCTCTCCAAAAGTGCATGAAAAACAAGACCCAGTGGTAAGCAACCTTCTCTCAGTGGGGCACAAAGGCCAAAGGGTGAGAAATGTGAGCTGGGTCAGCAGGTGGCTGTGACTCCATGGAGAGGCCCATTTGTCATATATTCTCACCAGCTTGTGTTCCAAAGGGTTGTAGGCGGAGGAGTGAACTGTGCTTTTTTGGATAAAGCTGAGTGACCTCAGAGTGTCAGAGCTACCGTTTGGTGTGGCCCTGTGAGCAGCAGGTGAAATGATGGGCATTGGAGCATGGTGTGTGGTGATCACAAAGTAGGGTTGACTCTTTGGGCCTCAGTGTTGCTGACACAATGAGGAAGTTGGCTAGAGAAATATTAAAGCCCTTTAACTTCTCCAAGATAAGACCACTAGAAGAAGCTGTCACTGGCAGCTGTGTTTGGGACATTGACTGGGCTGGAGGAGTGCCGGGATGCCTGTAAGACTGGAGCTGGACTATGCAGAGATGCCGTGAGAACAGCCTCAGGAATTGGCTGTTCAGCTCAGTTCCCCATTATTGGCAGCTGTGAATCCATCTGCAAATCGATACAAGAAGGTTGGCAGGGTAGGATCCAAACTAAACCATTTATATGACATGGCCTGTGACACAGAGGATGGACGTGGGTGTTTTTAGACAGACGTTACTCAGCCCTCTAACCTTACTCGGGGGTTGCGGTCCAGTTTACTTCGCTGCTTACTCATTTCCCCTCCCAAAAATGGAGTTGATAGTGCCTCCTATGTGGGGTTAAAGGAAACACAGAATCTCCAGTGCAATACTTGTCAACCCTCAAATGACAGCTGCCAATACTGTAGCTGTTGTCATCAACATCAGACTTCAGGATTGTGCCATGAACACGGGGGAGGCCTGCATGGGATCCCAGATGAAGATTCTAATCAAATGCTTTGTAAAGAATCTGTTCCCTCTTTTGGGGGGTGATTTTCCCCCTCTGCTCTTTTCTCTCTATTGTTTTCACACCACTGGTTTTCCCTGTCTGGATTTAGAGCTCTGGTCCTCACCGTGTGCTAGAGGGGCCTGCTGGGGACAGAGCCCCAACGAACCACACAGACGGCTCCCCCACTCCCAGATCCACGCCCGTTTTTCATTCAGCTTGCATTTCTCATTCTTTTCCTTTCGTGGCCCCCTGAGGACAGGAGGAGAAGCAGGGGTGACAGCTGCAGTAAAGAGGCATCTGCATCACACCCAGAGGGGCATGTCCTGACAGGGAGGCTGACTAGACCCTGGTCCCAGTCCTGGGAGAAACCTCTCTTCCCGGTGGTTTTTCAGGGTTGGTTCTGCCTTAGCTCCCTGTCAGCAGGGTTGTGTCTCTGGCAGGGCAGTGGCCTGACTCTTACACTGTGATTCTATAGCATGTGCACCTTCTCTTCACATGGGGCATAGCGTAATACTTAGATGGGGCCTGCCCTTCAAAATCACTCTCTAAAATCATGAACTGAATTAAAAACATTATTTCACTGAATTGTACTGTTGTGCTGAGTTGGCTAAAAGGAAACCTAAAACTTAGGAATTGTGATTGATTTTCACTCCATGAATTATAAATCTATCAAATGGTTTCCCGTTTCTTAGTTAAGAATCTGTAATCCACAGAATCTAATTTCTACCTATGTTAATGAGCAATCCAATAAAATTGAATGGTAACCATTATATACTATTTAGGGAAAATTCATCTTTATTAACCCAACCTCCAGGGGAAATATTGCTGTGAACACATTTCTTGCCTTGTTAGAATTTCTTTGGATTTGTAATGAGCAAGTGTGCTTGGGGCCAAGTGCGTCCATGTCCCCAGGTTCAGCATAATGTGATTTTAAGCGGCCACATCATTAACCTTTGAAAAATGAAGAAGCCCTGGAAAAATGACCAACGAAGAGCCGTGCCACAGTGACTGCTTTAGCCAAAGCAAATCTGCTGATGAATTATGGGGAAATTTGGGGGTGTTTGGGTTGTAGAATGAAAAAGTAAGATTTCCATGACTTTTTTATTTCTCTGTTGATTTTTTTTGGTGGTTCTTAAAAACAATTGTTTACCTTTACTTGGAGGATAGTGTAACGCTTTCCCCCGTCCTTCCCCTCCCTGCCCCCAGGTGGCGCCTACGAGGTCAAACAGCATCGCTTCTTCCGCTCTTTAGACTGGAACAGTTTGTTGAGGCAGAAGGCGGAGTTTATTCCCCAGCTGGAGTCCGAGGATGACACGAGTTATTTTGATAGTACGTACATTGTCTGACATAAAACACTGCAGAAAGTGATCTCTGCTGCTCAGAGGACCTTCCAGTCTAGAACCTATGAGTTCTTAAATATAATGTTGCTTTGGTACAGAAATGAATAATTAATAATTAAAATACTGAAATTAAAAGCTGAAATTTGAGTAATTGGAACTGTTCCCCACATTTCTCTAGCTCGGTCAGAGAAGTACCACCATATGGAGACTGAGGAAGAAGATGACACGAATGACGAGGACTTCAGCATGGAAATAAGGCAGTTTTCCTCGTGTTCACATAGGTTCTCAAAGGTAAGTGAAATAGGGCATAAATACATAGGCTCTCTCTGAGGGACTCCGGCACTGGCCAGATGGGTGGTACCCCTAAATAGCTGGACACACTGTCAAAATCACCTACAGTATTTGGGGGCTTGGGGTTCCCTGTACTTAAAAATCTTTTTTGTTTAGGAAGAGTGACCCCACCGTCTTGATGATCCAGAGTCCCTACCCCTCAGGAGTTTGCATCTCTGTTCCATTCTCCGCAGATTCATATGCGTGTTCTTGGTGGCACGGCCTTGCCCCTCATAGTCGCATCACTGGAGTACATTCTAGCTGGCTTCGCCTCGCGAGCCCTGGTGTGGCTGGCGCCGGCTGCGGAGGCTTCCCCCCATTTCTTTCGCGCTGTAGTTAAGAACGTGGGGCTCCGTGTGTGCAGAGCCGTCTAGTATTATGTGGATCACAACACAAGGGAGAAGGCTTAGTCCTTGACATAAGCTAAGACCCTTGGGGATGGCTGATTGTGGACTGAGTCTGGCGACCAGTAATAGAAAATGTAAGTTATATTACAGAAGCAGCAGGAAGTGAAGCTAGAATTTTGGCAATGGTAGAAGATAATAAAATTGGTGTTTGAGAAAGATGCTGCTTTTCTACTGATAGTGGTAAGATTAAAACAAGCAATCAAAACAAAGAAGGCTGATATTTCTGAGACAGGGCAGCAGGGCCCTGGGAAGACGGAAAAGCACCCAGAAGGCACCATCCCTCCCTTTGCTCTTTCCCTTGGCTATGTATTTGCCATGGCCGTGGCATTTTGCATGAATGCTATGTAGCCCTTCAGTAGCATTCAGTAATTTCAGTGTTCTGTACCTTTTTCTAAATGACTACCGAGGATGCACCTGCACACGGGCCAGCACCGCCCTCCCTGTTTATAGGAAGGACATAGAGAGGGCGATTTCCCTGGAGGATGTGGTGGCAGGTTCCCCTAGAGCCAGGACCCGAGCGGTGATATCACAGAGTGCTGGCTTTCCCCAGCACCTGTTCTCTGGCCCATCGGAGTCGGCCCCTGAACTCTCTTTCCTTCCCAGTGTCTCGTGTTCGTTAGCCACCTTCCTCCTGACCCCAGGAGGCACAGGCAGTCTGAGGGCCATCCCACGAGAGCAGCAGAAGGCTGCGCTGGGCCGTAGGAGGTGCCTCCTGGCGGGGCTCTCATCTTCCTGTTTACCTTCCGTCTTTCCTGTGGCACAGCAGAGGCCTTGGGTTTGCCTGAGCTCTGATCCCCTTCAGAAACCCCAGTGCTAACCTGGGAAGCTGCCTGTGTATGTAATTCATAAGCCAAATAAATACCTCGAACTCACCACCAAATATAGACTGCACCCCACCCACACACACACCTGAAACAGGTAATTTATTCTTCCCTTCACACTCAATTCCAATTCATTTTTCTCCTTCCCACCCCTAACTGGTGGCCATTGAATCTTTTTCTCTGATTTCCTTTTTCTGATTGACTTCTTGGTTAAAAAGTAATCTAAGGTGTGCATTGATCCCCGGGCCTAGAAACCTCAGTGCATCTATGGATTTTGTTTGCAGATACAAAGTTCATTTCGAGATATGGTGAGAGAGTGATGAATTCATAGCTCCCCACCCCAAAAGGAAAGAAATTATACACTGGCCATTCATCTCAGGACTCGCGTAAACAGCATTGGAAAGCGCTTCTGGATACACAGTCCCAGTTCATGCTTTAGTCATGGCTCTCAGGTTTTCCTCCTGAGATTTGGGTATTTTTTCTGACAAACTCTTTCAAGACAATATTAATAAGCGCTGACTGTTTGCCTTCCAGGTTTTCAGCAGTATAGATCGAATCACTCAGAACTCAGGAGAAGAGAAGGAAGACCCTGGGGACAAAACCAAAAGCACAACTTTGCCATCCACGGAGACATTAAGCTGGAGTTCGGAATATTCTGAAATGTACGTGAAATGCCTGTTAAAAAATATAAGCAGCAGCTACTAGAGCTGTGGTTCTCAAACCTGAGTGTACATCATTGGCATCGGGAGGGCCTGTAAAACACAGGATGCTGGGCCCATCCTGAGAGTGTCTGATCCTGTAGATCTGGGGGGGGCAGAGAGTGTGAATCTCCAACACGTTCCCAGGTGACGCTGATGCTACAGGTCTGGAGACTGCACTTGGAGAACCACCGAACCAGAGCATGTCTCAGTCAAGCTCATCTGAGTTCCATTTCTCCCAGGTTTCTTACAAATCCACCTTGGTATGTATGTGTACATGACTTTGTTTTTGTTTTCAATTAAGGCAGCAGTTGTCCACATCCAACTCTTCAGATACTGAAAGCAACAGACATAAGCTCAGTTCTGGCCTGCTTCCCAAACTGGCTATTTCAACTGAGGCAGAACAAGGTGAAACCCGTCCCTGCTCTGGAGACCTCCGCGGGGAGCCAGAAAAGCCAGCCCTTCCTCCTGCTGAGTGTGCTCAGGAGGAGCCCGAGGTCACCACCCCAGCCAGTACCATCAGCAGCTCTACCCTGTCCGGTAAGCCCTGAGTGGTACCTGCCATCCACCTATGATCCCAGAAGTGAGTGTGGGCTGGGTCCTGGGGCTGGCCGAGCCAGGTGGGATGATGGTGTTGTTTGCTACTAGACTCCAACTTCTTGGGCTTGGGGGATGAGCTCCTACGAGCTAAGATCAGAGGTATCAGACCCGTCGCAAATGCTTGGCCACATAGCTAACCATTCTTGCTTCAGCTGGACCTGAGAGCCTCCCTTTCCCAGTTGGGTGTCAGTGGGATCCTGGGGTGATGGTCAGAACACACTGAGGGAATATGTTCTCTGTGGTTGATGCAAAGGCAAGTCCTGTGTGTTTGCATCTAACTCAACATTAGGAGTAAGGGACAGTATCAAATAGTCAAATGGTCAAAATACCCTCAGAAAGGTTGTAAATCACCTGTCAGGTAGTAGAGCAGAGGTCAGCTTTCCCTCTTGTGTTGAGATAGGTGGTTGAGATGGTTGGTTTTTGTGAAGGGGCCAAACCGACTGCTTGGCTCTCCACGCTGGGCTCTGAGCCGGAGCGGCAGGGCACTTACAGCTGGGAGATGCCCTGCAGCTTTCCTGCCTCTGGGACTGAGAGGGGAGGGGTCAGAGGTGCCAACGCAATTCAAATAGGTATTTTATGTGCATAGGAAACTCCACTGCAGACAAAATTTCCTTCCCAGTCTCTGGTAACTGGAGTAAGAACTCCTGGGACAGCTTCGACTGTTCGGGAGGCAGTCAGGGGCTTGGGCCTTTTCTACGGAAGCACTTTATCATGTTATCTTTGTGTGAAGTAACCTTGACAACTGGAACAGGGTCTTCATGGGGGTTTTTAATGCTTAATGTATCATAGGTACTTGCTGGCCCTTCTTAATGGAGGCGCCCTCAGGAGATAATTAAACTTTTCCTTCCCTCAGAGCAAGCCCTTAAGGCGCATTTAAAATATTATTTGGTTAATAAAAATTTTATGCATAGCATATCCTTCTACAGAGCAATGTGCACTTACCGCTTTAAAAAAACCAAAATAAAACATGGATGTGGCTTAGGGTTGCTATAATAAATGTTTTCATTAAGCCATATTCAATATGTTATGTTGATGACCATGAATGATTCCAAGATTTTTAATGAACATTTCTTAGACTAACTAAATATTCATAGTGTAATTAAAAAAAGATCATTTTAAGAAAACAAATTTCTTAGGCTGGGTTTATTTTAGACTCTGAAAAGTTTGGTTCTAGGAAGGAGACTGGACTTGGGATGGTGAACACACAGTGCAATATACAGATAAAGTATTATAGAATTGTACACCTGAAACTTATATAATTCTATTAACCAGTGTGACCCCAATAAATTCAATAAAAAAGTAAAAAAAAAAAGAAGAAAAGAAGTTTGGTTCTATAGTGGAGCTTCATATGTGCTTATAGTTTATCATGGGGGAAAATAATGTTTTTTTTCCCTTTTCTCTCTCTACCTCAGTTCTATTTCCATTAGGATAATTCCACTTGTCCTGACTCTATAAAGCTGAGAGAATAGCAGTGTATTAATAGTGTAGAAACAGCATAGTAATCTAGGGTCCCTGACATTTTTAGTTCATCTTGGTAGTCATATCAAATGTAGATATCTCAGTATTTTATATTTCTGGTTACTAAAGCCTCCATCTGCTTTTTAGTTTATTTTCTTACTCTGAGTAGAGCATATTTACCTCCATTTAAAGTGTATTCTTATTATGGTGAATTGTTGATGATCTCTTAGTCTCTTCAGCTTACTCACTATCAGGAAGGTGGGAGATAAAGGGAGGGGAATGGTATCTAAGCATTTGATAGATGACTTTCATAATTAAAAAAAAAAAAACGGCCTAGGTCCTGCCATGCATTTTGATTAATAGATTCAAACCACCTTTCTTTCTGGCTCCCCCACATACTCACTAAAAATAATCAAAGACCTTGGGGGCTGCACAGAATAGAGAGAGGAGCTGATTTGCTCATAGCCAAGGGTAATTAGGGAATCTGAAAGCCGTGACTGCAGGAAAATTAAATTTGTTGATTTTTATATTGCTCCACCATCAAAAAGAAAGGACCCTTGACATTTCTAGAGCATTAAGGTGACATTATCCACCGTTGGCAGAGAAGCAACACGTGCTCCCGTGCAGTGCTGCGAAACGCCACTGCGGAGGAGAGAGGGAGCTGATACAGGGAACACTCTCTATTCACACTCTGGCATTTAGGGAGGAACGGCTTTCTACCTGTTTCTCTTTTCTCATGACTACATTGTATTTGAATCGGGGAAAAGTAAAAGTCATAAAGTCTCCCGTGTAGTGCTCGGTTGCATCCAACACATTATTCATTGTAAAGAGATTCAGCTTTTCGTTTTATATTCACCAGTGATCTTATCCAAACTAAATTAGAAAGGAGAGGGGAGTGTGTAACTTCCCCAGAAGGAAGCTCAAGGTTTTGGAGATGAGATTTTTGAATTGTGGAGCAGCTGTTATCAAGTCCTTCAGCAATGGATTTCTTTATGTAGCGTGAATGGAATGGAGACTCTGTTAAGCGAGATTGAGTTTGGCATATGGAAAGAGTATTGGTATTTGCCTTGTCTTCCTCTGTAGGTCCGATGGGTGTCACCTGGAAGTCCATGAATCTTTTCCTGTACCCACAGCACAGTAGATGGCCATGAGCTGTGCTGTGCCCAAGCCCTCTCTCCCAAATTACAGGCTTCCCTTAGCGTCGGCCCCCTTCTAGAGTCTGGGCCACCTCCCGTGAACTGGGGCCAACTTCAGCTGTGCAGCTGAGTGGTGCCTGTGTAGCAGTGTGACAGAAATGTTAGTTAAGTCTAGTTGAGCCTGACTCTTTCCAAGGCAAAGGATGTCATCTGGTCAGCACTTTAAAATGTGCTGGCCGGTCTTTCAGAAGATCATTTATAATGGTATTAAATTCTCTATATGGATTATATATCGTAAGGTGATGATAGTGTAGATGATTGATTAAAGCACAAGCTTAAAGCATTTAGAAGAAAAAAGTAAGGTAACCATTTATTTTTCTGAAAGGACAAAGATATATTATCAGTGATTTTAAAAAGAAAGACAAAAATACCGGTAGCCTATGGGAAGAAAGAGCAGTAGAAACCAAAGGGGTGGCCCGTCATCGTTTCTCTGGGGGACTCAACACGTCACTCGGCTCAAGAGCTTTTTGACTTTGGGCTGTGCAGTCACCGGACCAGCGTCAGTGATTTTCCATCTGTACCTCCTCCCATGTGCTTATATTCTCTGCTGATCTGCTGAAGGAAGTCCTCCTTTTTTAAACTAAAAATAGCCCCTCCAGTTTACATTAAAGGTCACTACAATGAAAAATAAAGCATGGCTGGCCTGAGGGGAAGGGGCCCTTGTCCCACTGGTCCAGTAACGTTCGGGCAGGTCAGCATGTAGCACTGTCTAGACCAGCAGCCAGGAAGATGTCGTGAGCTGCTGAGTAATGTAACCAGTAATATGCTTTGCCTTGCCCTGTGAAGCATCCAAGGGACATAGAGCGAAAGGGGCGAGACGTCAAAGGAGATGCGTTAGGTACTTTTCTGTAAGTTACACACCCAAGCCTGGTGTGAGTGTAACCTGGTGTGAGGTGTGTGCTAGGAAGACGGTAGGGGATGACCCAGGCCTGTGTCTGCGCGAAGTGATTAAATGGTGTCCAAAGCCATCGGTAACGGCATTCGTCGTGAGGATAGCATGCGGTAGGCGGCGTGGTGCCCATAAGGGGAGGCTTGCTGCGTAGCACGGTGGAGCGGGGGGGAGAGTTGTCGCTACAGGGGTTGTAAAATACAGATCCTGGAGAGTAACTATTCTGGGGAAACGGAATCACTGGTGGAAAATTAGCAGGCGTGCCATACAAGTGGAATGGAACCTGCAAGGACGCCTCTTTCGTCTTTCCTCCTCCGCGTCACCTTCCTCAAGCCAGTCGCGTGTTTTCAATGTTCGCTGACACCGTCCGGGTCGAGAGCCACGGGGAGCGTGTTTCCCAGCGTTGGCCCTTGCTTCTCTCTCCCCCCCTTCCTTGCCCCACCCGTCCTGTCCCAGATTCTCTTGAACTGTGTATCCCTTCTTCTTTGTACAGTTGGCAGTTTTTCAGAGCACTTGGATCAGATAAATGGACGGAGCGAGTGTGTGGACAGTACAGATAATTCCTCCAAGCCATCCAGTGAACCCGCTTCCCACATGGCCCGGCAGCGCTTAGAAAGCACAGAAAAAAAGAAAATCTCGGGGAAAGTCACAAAGTCCCTTTCTGCCAGTGCTCTGTCCCTCATGATCCCAGGAGGTAGAGAGACATCTGCTTGCATGAAACTGTTGTGATTTGTGCATGTGGCCTCCCCCTCTCCCCCACTGTGGAATCTGTTAAAGTAACGAGGGAAGGGTCCCAGGGTCCCAGCCCAGCTCTCGGGAGCTGCTCCCTGCAGGACCCTGAGCTCCCAGGAGCATGTGTACCTCATTTTTTCTCGCTTCTTTCTGCATCAGGGGATGGGACAGCCTTCCTTCCCACAAAGCCGATTTCTTTTATTTTCTTTCCTTTTCTTTTCTCACCCTTCCAGGGTAAGTGATAAATTTCCCTCCTGAATAATTTCTCTTCCCTACACTGTGTACGCATCATTTATATACTTCACAGAGCTGTTCACAGCATCTGTGCTGGAAAGCTAAGGTCTAGTTTTTCTTATCTAATTAATGAGGAAAGAGACAGAGAAAACATAAGTTTTAATTTCTGGGATGCAGAGAGTCACAGACAGTTTTCCCAGCCCTGTCTGTTGAGCTATGCTTCCTCCTACTGGCCGCCAGATCATTTTCTCCCTATATTAGAAAACTGGGCTTCATTATGGTTTTGTTGCACTGCAGTATTTTTCCACAACCTGGTTTTGCCTCTAGTGATCACTAAGTCTGTAGTAATTCCATTGGCAGAGATGAAATATGCACCCTGGTGGTTGTTGTGGCTTATCACTCAAGTGACAGCAATAGAGTGGAATTATATTGCAGATGGCTTACATTTGGAAGAATCCAGACCATGTATAAAAGGGATTGTTTACATTTTTGAAATTTCAAATTTGTGCAGAAAGAAACTAGATATAAACAAATGCTCACTTGGGGGTAGCGCTCACTCTACCATACTCTCTTTTCTGGGAAGCATCCCATTTAGCACTCTAAAACAAACACCTCTCTCCCTGGCTTAAGTGTTCATACCCGAGGGCAATGGCCCCGGGGCAGCTGCAGTTGGGAAGGTGAGCATGATGTGGTCCAGTCCACTTCTGAAAGCCCGCATCTTGGTAAAGTCGGGCAGTTAGTCAATTTGGGGAGGTAAGGGAAACCGTATCCACCCTGTCCTCTTGCTTGCATGTTTTGGAGCCCCCCACCCACCAGCCTATCACTTCTCACTTGGCCTCTTGATTAGACAGCAGGTAGCTAGCAAAAGAGCACCAAGAGGCCACATGAAGTCGGAGAGCGAAGGGGCATGGGTAGTGACCCATCTAGCTCCTTGTTCCACTTCGGACAGACGTCAGAATGGGAACAAATGAGGGCAGGATACTCTCAGCTTCCTGTGGCCGCACTGCAACTCACCACACTGCTGAGTCTTCCATACCCTGGCTCCAACTGAGCCCGTTTAAACCTCAGCATCTTTTGTAGGTTATTATTTTTCTCAAACACACGCATACAGTTTCACGTGACCAATGTCAGATTCACGTAGCTGGAACATGAGTATGAACTATACACTAAAAGGCGATTGGTTATAAAACAAAGAAAGCAGAGGAAAATCGGTATTTTGGAAAATGACCTGAATCCCTCTTAAAATTCCTCTCTTTCACCTGCATTGTCCTCTCAGAAACCTTATTAGACATGTAGGTGATATATGAAATCACTTGCAACCATAATAATAATGAGTGATTCTTTTTATAAAGAAGCTGCCATTTCAGTGCATTTTGATCCAGTTGTTTTAATCAGTACTAGTTCAATAATATAATGTAAAAAGCAGCTGGGAAATTGCAACTTTCTTTCCTGGCCATGGGCGTTTAAAAAGGACCGTGTTAAGTTGTTCAGGGCAAGAGTCGGAGCCTGAGAATCTATTACTATAGTCCACACAGTCTGCTCTCTGAGGGTGGACTTGAAATTCATGCATCTATGAGTCGTTTCCTTAATTAAAATAAAATGCAGTAAATAATATCACAGCCAGATAGTCCCTAAGTTTTGTGTATGTTTTAATTAGCGTAGAGAACTAATAAATTATAACTTTAGTTTATTAAATGAAAGCTGGTTAAAATAGAAGTTTCCCTGACAGGCTTCTGTTTTGAAATCCATATTACTTACGCATAGAAACATTTTTGTATTATTTCTTTATTTTTCTGTTAGAAACGAACGCGTTTGTTTGCTCCCACGCTCCCAGCCCCAGCAGGGCTGCCGTGCGGGCTGGCCGCGTGCCTGCTGCGTGACCCAGATCTGAGCTGACGGCTGGCTTCTCTGTTGCAGATATGTTTGCCGTTTCTCCGCTGGGGAGTCCAATGTCTCCCCACTCCCTGTCCTCGGACCCCTCTTCTTCTCGGGACTCCTCTCCCAGCCGAGACTCCTCGGCGGCCTCCGCCAGCCCGCATCAGCCCGCCGTCATCCACAGCTCAGGGAAGAACTACGGGTTCACCATCCGCGCCATCCGGGTGTACGTGGGAGACAGCGACGTCTACACAGTGCACCACATCGTCTGGGTAAGACCCGCAGCCTCTCCTCCGCGTTCTTTTCCTTCCCGGCCACACTGGGGAATGATGAGTTGGCTGAGTGAGACGTAGTTGACAGCAAATGTATTTTCACTAAGCTGCCATTTGGGACCTATTCCATTTTCCTGTAGTGCTCTTTCCCTTCATCTATACGGTACAATTGAATTTAGCAAAAACGAATCCTTTCTCATAGATGTGTCCAGTTTTCACATTTGGTTGCCCACTTTTTATACCACGCTGGTAGGAAGAGTCAAAGACAGGCCTATTTCAATCCTTCTTTTATTCTTTTTTTTTCCTTGGCCTTTTTTTAAAAAACAACTACCTTCTCAAATCACCTGAATTTTTTTTTTTTAAGGAACCATAGAAATTACCCTGTTTTTGGATGATGGCAGTAGAATAGTAACCATGCCTTTTTTATTTCCTCGTAGGAGCGTAGGATTATTTGCTGCTTAACTCAGAATAGTCTGCCACTAGGAACAGGAGGCTTAGGGGTGTCATTTGTTTGCTTACAAATATGTTCTCTCTTCTTGGACTTCAGAATGTAGAAGAAGGAAGTCCAGCCTGCCAGGCAGGACTGAGAGCTGGGGACCTGATCACACACATCAACGGGGAGCCGGTGCATGGACTTGTCCACACGGAAGTGATAGAGCTCTTGCTGAAGGTATTGTCTTTTTTCGGTCACGGCCATACAGATGAGGCAGGTGGCCAGAAGGAACTGGTCGCAAGAACTCTGTACCTGAGTTCTAGAGTCCATCCCTGGCACACCCCTGCACACAGTCTTGTTTCTGAGGATGTATTCAGTATTCTCAGGCTTATTGTTAAAGATAAGAATTCTCTGGTTTTATATCATGAATATCTGCGTAATCACTTCCTAATTTAATTTTGCTTCTTATTATAAGTTACAAGTAATAAAAGTTTTCTTTATTTTGTGTGTACTTCACATAGGGAAATCTGTTTGGAAAACAACTAAAGGTGATTTTGCTCAGGAACATTCAGGAGGTTTTGTTTTAGTTTAGTAGAAGACAAAGTGGTATAAAACTGTGGGGTCTACTGTAAGGTTGAGTCTTGAGAGTTGGATTTCCTTGGAGAGAGAATTGTGCATGGAAACATGGACACTATGAATTATATAAATTGGTGTAGTGGAAGGGGTTCTGGCAATCATTAGGCCATCCCTTCCCCCCCCAAATGACTGAATAGAGATCAATTTCTATTTAAAACGCAAACTGAGTAAAGCCTGGGGAGGGAGATACCAGGAAGCGTGAAAGGAGTTGGAGAGCGTGTCTTACATGGGTCCTCTCCATTCTGTTCAGTTACTTGCTTTGTCACCTGCTGACACCAGAATATAAAGTGATAGCTCCAAACACAGATCTGATTAAAATAAAGATGAATTTGAATTTGATGTTACATTTTTTTCAGAAACAAAGGCCAGCTTTCCTGTGATTAGAGGTGCAGTGTGTCTAGTAGTAGGATTGCTTTACAGATCAACAGATTTTTGGATGACCTCTTGCTCCTTGAGCACTGTAAGGGGCTGCCAGCCATAGAGTGTGAGCCAAAGCTCCAGCTCACCTGGGGCCTATTGAGAGGCGAAGCACGTGCATACATGTCATTCAGATAACGCACACGCAGAGCGGTCCTACAGCACTGGCCCTGAGGCAGGTACCATAGAGATGGTAACACAGGAATTAAGGTATAGTCCTTGCCTTCAGGAAGTATGGGAGATGTGTAAGCAGATAAAATACAACTAACTTAACTATTCAGGGCTCTAGCAGATACTTTTAGAGAAAACATTCTGAGTGGAAGAAGCATCGTAGGGAAATAATAACGTTTAATTGGAACTTGAAAGAAAATGAGGGATTTGGGAGGCACTACAGGGGAGTGGGTGTGGAAAGCCTTTCAAAAGTAAGTTCAGTTCAGTGACTTCTCTCCTTCCTTCTCTGACATTCCCCAGCCAGCACAAGAGTCTTCAAGATTCCAAGTCTGGCCCAGGTCCTGAGAGTAGAATAGCTTGTCTCTTCAAGGGTCCAGTGTGAAGTAGCAGATTGTAGAGAAGTTATTGCCGTAGATTAATTCACAGCATTAACAAGACTTTGGTCTTGGGCTCAGGGGCTGGATTTGCTGTCACCCACACTCACGGGGTGTCCTCTAACTCTAGCCAGCTTTCTCTCAAATACATGCTATTGATCACCAGTGGTACAGGACTGAATATCAAGAGAACGTTGCAGAGCCTTAGATAGTGTGGGAAATCAGCTATGGTCGTGCTGAGCATGTAGCAGATCTGACAGCAGCCTGCAGGAGAGATGCAGAATTGCTATTAAAACTTCCCACGTAATCCCAGCGTTTAACCAGATCCTGGTATACAGCTGGGGTCTCAATAAATGCTCGTGGAGTTGAGGTGGACTATGAGGCTCTCCTTTGCTCGCTGTCCAAAGATTATCATGGGAGGAGCCAAGTACCACACGACTATGTTCACTGTGTCTTGACTCCTGGCTCATTGTATGTCCCATTTATTTGGGGAATAAAAGCCTTTAGATGCATGGAGTTAGTTTATACTTTTGCAATATGGCCACTGAGTAGAAACGTGTTACTCTGGTACCTGCCTGGATATAGCTTCATTCACCATCCATCTCTGATAATGCTCTTTGTCCAGCTGGCATGGAACAACTCTCTCTGACTAAGTGTCCAAGAAAGGGGGGCAGAGAAAGATTGCTGAGTTTGAGACCCCTTAGCTGTGCAAGTTCCCTGAGAGGACCTCAGAACCCCCCAAAGCAAAATTCAAGGAGAGATACAGAGATTTATGTGTCTGACTAGCTGCTTCTCTCACAATGCCTGACCCTGTGCTCTAGGGGAGCCCCATTGCTGGCTTGCAGATGGACCCTTTATCAGGGCTCAGGAAAGTTTTTTGTGGGGTGAGAGGAGTCCAATATATTAGCCTTTCCAGTTGATTGGGTACCGAAAAGTAGAGATAGACATGTCTATCTCTAACATGCTCCTTGAGCTTTGCCAGGAGCTCACTTTGACCCTTTGTTTCAGTAATAAGTCTGTGTTTTTATAGGCGAGCCTCTCTTAGTTGTTATCAATTCTACAAGATCTTTTCCTTATCTTGGCATCGGCAATTAAAAGAAGGTCAAAGGGCCCTGGCCAGGTGGCTCAGTTGGTTGGAACCTCATTCCAGGCACCAGATGGTTGTAGGTTCGGTTCCCGGTCAGGGCACGTACCTAGGTTGCAGGTTCGATCCCCAGTCAGGGTGTGTTCGGGAGGCAACCAATCAATGTTTCTCTCTCACATCGATGTTTCTCTCTCTCTTCCCCCCCTTCCTCTCTCTCTAAAATCAATAAACATATCCTCGTGAGGATCAGAAAATAAAGAAGGTCCAGGGGAGTTTAGGTGGTAGCGTGTGTCTGGCCTTCTTCATTCTTTATGGCAGCATTGTGTTACAGCAGCTTAGCTCCTGCCACAGCATATCTTTATATCATTTCATACGTCCGCTCTGAAAATAAGAGAAGAAATAATACACTGAAATATGTATCTTTAGAAAATATGCATTTATTTTTCTGAGGCATAATGGATCATTTTCATTATTTATTTTATAAGGGATTCTAATATGATTCTGGGTCTTACAACCTCTCCTTCTATGAAATTTGAATGTACATTTCTCCTAAAGCTCTCTGGCAAAGTCTCTTGGCAGAATCACGTGATCCCATTTGTATCGTCTGGTTACTGAGTGCTTTCATTCCTGCATCTAGTCGCTGTCGACCTGCGCAGACATGCAAAATGGAGAGCCGTTGGCACCCTCCAGAGCCACGCGTGCTCTGTCACAGATCCAAGCAGAGGATTTTGCCTGTTGTTCATAAAGGAAGCACTCGAGGAGTAACCAGTGTAAAGAAACAAAGAGGATACAAGGGATTTAATTATCTTCCCAGCGAACTGTGTAATCATGCAGCTTCCTTCCAGATTTACCCAGCAGTCTCTGCAAAAGGGAAAGTGACTGGTGTTAACACTGGGCCCCCGCGTGCCATCGCCCGTGGGACGTCCGGGCGGTAGCTGTGCTGTGGTGTTCCGGATGCTGCTTACACGATGTTGCATACTCACAAACTATTTTACAAGGCTCATGGCGCCCCTCAGAAAGAGGAGGAAGAGCCATCACACAGGGCCCTGTGTACATATTAGAAATACATGTACACTGCTTATGTAGCTTTTGACTGTGAACGCAGTAAGCTTATTCCATGTTTGTGTCATGGCCTCGCTATAGTAGTAAGTGCAGGCCATAGGCCATATTGACCCAGTTTTATCCCCTGCTCACATGATAACCTGCCTGGCTTAACCTCTCTAACCCAGTAATCTCTCTACTCAACCAGGTTGCTTTCTTAGGAGAGCATTAGTTTAAATCCTCGATGCATAAGAGAAGCCCTAAACCTTCATTGGCCCCTGCTTCAAAAATTTCGTTTCCACGAACTCTGGGAACCTCTGGATACTGAAGTGGGACCATTGATAGCCTCACTATTCCTACCCGCACGCAACTGCTGAGCCCCCGAAGTGTGCAGAGCGTTGTGCTAGGTGCTGCAAGGGGCCCACAACAAAGGACCCGGGAGAGTGGTAGGAAATGGAGAGTGCTTTACCTGAATAAGCTCAGGAGTCCTCACACCTGGCCTTCCACCAGGGTGGACAGGCCTGAGGGGCTAGGGGTCGTCGGTGCCCGGCTGTGAAGGCTGGTATTTAGTATGTGGGAAGGGGAGCAAAACAGAGAGAGTGCAGGAAAACACAAGGGCGGAGAGGTCACAGTGCTTGAGGTGCCTGAGTAAAGCAGCGTGGCTGGGGCCTCGGTCCCAAGAGGGGTGCAGTGGGCCAGGTGGCTGGGGCTGGGCTGTGGAGGGTGCGAACCAGGGCCAGGGCACAGCTGTGCAGGAGGAGTGCCGTTCCCCGTGTACACTTTTCGAGAAAGAAATGTGAGAACAGTCTAGCTCAGGAGGCACACAAGACCAGCAGATAACTGATGTGGAGCCAGGTTGAGAGAAGGGCTTGGATAGACCAACTTGTGCACTTGTGTTCAGCTCAGGCAGCTGAAGATAATTTCTCTCCCACCGTGCACTGGTCACACAGTAGTTTAAAGGAAGAGAGGACTCGCTGAACACTTAACAGTCTGCTGGCCCTGGTTTTTGTTGTTATTTTTAAACAAGCACCACAGAATTTCTCTGATAAGAGGTTGCTCAGTCTCCGAAAGAATGGATTGAGGGTAAACCCGCCCCATTAGCCGCATTGTACAGCTTAGGCAGCACTCGCTGTAGCCGGTGGATCCACTGGGTGGCAGGCTTCCTACCTCTCACCCGCTCTCCGTGAAGTTTTCTTCCAGTCACTTCTCCTTTTCACAATCACTGATGTCTCTGACCAAATATTGGTGCTCTGCATCTTTGTGTCTGTATTTCCCCTTAGGGACGTTATTTCTTGTATTTCCAGTAGTCTAGTGAACCGTCCGCTGGAACAGTAATATGTAGAAACAAGAAAGAGAACACTGGGTTTGGTTTTTATAGGCAAAGGGTACATTTGTACAGAGCCCAGTGATGTGCTCTGGTTTAATTCCTGGTTGTAATTTACACAGGCCTGAAAAAAGAGCTGCAGGAAATATACTGAAATATTACTGGTGTTAGCTGGCCAGTTAGCTTCTCAATGATTGTTACTTTTTTTTTTTTATACTTTACTATTTTATTCTTATAATGGCATTTATTACTTCCCAGATTGGAGCAAGAGTAGATGTTAACATTAAAGTAGTCAGTCTTTGTGTTTTCAGTCTTCTGCCCCCATCATACTTAACTCCTTATCACTTAGTACCACCTAGAGCCTAACTGCTAGTTGTCTCCCAGGCATGGGCTTTTTAAAAGGCCCTTCTCCTTATACATCTATCTTTTCAAGGTAATCAGGGCTATTTGTGACTTTGAAAGGACATGTTTCTCCCCTGGTTTTTAAGAAATGCAAGAAGAGGTCATTGATGCTGGAGTGAAGGGGATGGATCGGTCCTGCCACCTGCCCTGGGCACCCTTTGGCTGGCTTCCGGACTCTGCTCTCAACTCTGTCCTGAGGGCCTGCCCAGTAGGCCCTGTCCCAGGACCCGGTGAAAGGGCACAGAGTCCCCCGGGATGACCTTGCCGCATGTGGCCCGGGCGAAGACAGGCTGCCTCACGCACACTGGCAGAAATGTTCCAGCTGGGCAAGCTGGCAGGGTTTACAGTGATAGAAAAGGAGCCGTAAAATAATGAAAAATAAAAGTCTCTTTCAATTTTGTTGCTCTTTGATTTCTAGATCAAAGGAAAAACACAAAAATGAGAAAAGAGAAAACTAAATCAAGCAAGGAGACAGCCCCGGGGCACATTATTTATACTTAATAATATGGATGAAGGAAGCTACGTGTTATTTATAGAGCCTGTCCGTGTGCCACAGTGGGTGCTGAGGGCCTTACCAACTCTATCCTGCGTGTGGTCCTCAGAGGAGCCCCCGTGGGACAGGTGTGACTCTGCCACCGCATAGCACAGGAAGCGGAGGCCGAGGGAGGGGGAGCCACGCGCTTGGGCTCCGGAGCTCAGATTTGAACTCCGATCTGTGCAGTCCAGAGCCCACCCTCTTGAAGAAACCTTAGGTTTTACCTCCACGCAGTTTGTATTCTCAAGGACTTCACTGCTTTGAGGCTTATTTGGAAATGAAGGCCCTTTTGTGTGTGCGCGTCCTTGTGTTGCTTTGAACACCTCTCTGTCCAGGTCCTGCTGCGTTACAGCGTTTCCCTTTAATAGCGCCTCATTGTTTTTCAGAGTGGCAATAAGGTGTCAGTCACTACCACCCCGTTTGAAAACACGTCCATCAAAACGGGGCCAGCCAGGAGAAACAGCTGCAAGAGCCGGATGGTGAGGCGGAGCAAGAAATCTAAGAAGAAAGAGAGTCTGGAGAGGTGAGTTCGGGCGGCATTCTTTGCGAGTTTCGTGGGTACCCATGTTGGAGGAAGGTTACTCCCTAATTAATGTCAGTGCTTATAGATGAGCCACTTTATGCTGTGGTTCACATGTATTTATACATGAAAGTTCATATTCACAGTAGCATCATTTTTCACAGTGAAAGGGGTCCATAGTTACATGGTAGAAGAGTTCAGATTGCTTTATCTCGTGTGTGAGGCCCAGAAGCCCTTGGGTATTCCTTAAGCCTCTAGACTTCATTTCATTTGAGTTGGATTTGAGGAACTGGACCTTCAAGCAGTTCTTAACATTGAATCTACCTTTAATAATGTCCTTTGCACTATCTAAAAACAGTTGGTATTTCTTAAATGCCAACGATTCTGAAATAACTATATCTTAAAAACATCCAAATAATCCTAGAAATGAAAGGAGTGTGTCTTGCTACTGAATATCTAGCTAGGTTACCGTTTGTTGTCTGGGAGGTGTCACGAGTGTCTTTCTGTGCTCTGTGCAAGACACTGGCAAACGCAGTAATTTTCTGGCCAGGACACTTTTTGCCAGGCAGCTGTCTGGATATACTCCCTGCAGGGTGCCTGAGCATCTCTCCCTCACCACTTGAATCTGATGCATCTGATCACATTCAGAGGATTTTTGATGATGGAGATGTAGAAAAATAATGTCAATGTAAAAGGAATGCTTATCAGCTCCAGGAAAGATAAAGTTATACGAGAAAGGAAATAGAATTATGCTCTACATGGCCTAGCTGTGAACAATACTTAAAACATAGAGAAAACACCAGCCTTTTTTGGGTAACTAAACATTTCTGTTTAGCTCTATTGGGAGGAATAAAAAAGGGAAGTGTATTTGGTCAGAAGGTGGAGGGGGTTTGTAAGAGAGCTTAATTCTCAACTTCTGTGGTAGGACATCAACAGATAAGTTCTGAAACTGAAAAACTAAAAGGCAATGTAGGCACATCACTGAGCAACGTGAAGACAGATGGGAGGAGAAACACTGCTTGTCCCTGGAGAGTGGGCCAAAGAAAGCAGAGGAGGGGAGTTGTAATTTTTTTCGTTATAAGTTTATAAAACTGACTTTTTAATCCAAGTGTATTTATTACTTTTATTAAAATTACACACACAACCTAAATGCTGAGAGTCTCCTTTTTTGTGTGTGCTTTATGTTTTGTGTGTGCTGTAAGTCATATAGAACACTGTTTCGGGGGCAGCCGTGTTTAAGCTTCCTGCCTGAGCTCCGCAGGTGGGTCAGGGTTTAGGGTTTTCGGGGAGGGTGTAGGAACTCTCCAGCCACCTGCACTTCTGAGCGTTGGGGCCCGGCCTTCTGCCGGAGGCTGTGTTGTTGCTGAGCACTCATTGCCTCAGCAGCAGTGTGGTGGCTGCTGCCCTGCTGATAGGATAAGCTTCTATCCGTGCACGTTTCATGACTTTCTATGCAAATGCACAGCCTTCACTGTCCTTGAGGATAATCAGGAGCCCTCAGTGGAGTAAGCACAGCAAACAGCCCCTCACAGATAAAGCCTCTGCCCAGTGTGTCTCCATTGAAGAATTCTATGTCTGAGATGATTTTGCTCCCAGAGATCTTACTTGGTATTATCTCTTAATGAAATTGTGTCAGTGTCTGGGGGTGCATACTCAGAAGCCTTCAGGCAAAGAATACCCTTCTCATAAACCTGACAAATAAATAAATGAGTATATACTTAATATACTCCCCTCCCCCCAGCTCTTAAAGTGTTTGGAATTCAGAGAGCTTCCACTGTATACTGTCTGCCTTTCTAAGCCATAAAAATGTTTTTACTGTAACAGTGGGATCCAACTCTTTAATAGGATCTGCCATCACATCACCGTCTCCCGCACAGAGGTGTGAACGGAACAGGAACTGTGGGGAGGCAGGAGTGGCTCTGAACATCACATCAAATCGCATCCATTTTCTCTTGTTTTCACTCTAGGAGGAGATCCCTTTTCAAAAAACTAGCTAAGCAGCCTTCTCCGTTACTCCACACCAGCCGAAGCTTCTCCTGCCTGAACCGATCGCTGTCGTCGGGGGAAAGCCTCCCAGGGTCCCCCACACATAGCTTGTCTCCCCGATCTCCCACACCCAGCTATCGCTCCACCCCTGACTTCCCATCTGGTGAGTGAGTCTCCTGGCCAGGAGAGCAAGCAAGAGTTGAGAGGAGGTCAGAGTCACTGTCTTAGATCCTGAAACACGAGAATTATTCTAGCTACGAGGTCATGAGATGGGTCTATTTGGACAGTTAAAACAAGACAGGAAGTGTTGGGTTAAAACTTAGTATAGGGAGGTTTATCCCAAAACCATTCATTAGAGCTGGATATTAAGACAGTTTGCTGACCTTGATCTGACCTTACCTGAAACAGTTTGGGCTGGAGGGTGGAAAGGAGAGGGAAGGTGGCTGTTGCTCACGTGTTCTGTTTTCCACCCCCAGGTACTAACTCCTCACAGAGCAGCTCCCCAAGTTCTAGTGCCCCCAACTCCCCAGCGGGGTCAGGACACATCCGTCCCAGCACTCTCCACGGTCTGGCCCCCAAACTCAGCGGACAGCGATACCGGTCCGGAAGGCGTAAGTCAGCGGGCAGCATCCCGCTCTCCCCGCTGGCCCGGACACCCTCGCCAACACCACAGCCCACCTCCCCGCAGCGGTCCCCGTCACCTCTGCTGGGCCACTCACTGGGCAACTCCAAGATCGCTCAAGCCTTTCCCAGCAAAATGCACTCCCCTCCCACCATCGTCAGACACATCGTGAGGCCCAAGAGTGCCGAGCCGCCCCGGTCCCCGCTGCTCAAGCGCGTGCAGTCGGAGGAGAAGCTCTCTCCCTCTTATGGCAGTGACAAGAAGCACCTGTGCTCCCGCAAGCACAGCCTGGAGGTGACGCAGGAGGAGGTGCAGCGGGACCAGCCGCAGCGGGAAGTGGCCTTGCAGAGCCTGGAGGAGAACACGTGTGACGCACCGGCCCTCAGCCGGGCCAGGCCGGTGGAGCAAGGCTGCCTGAAGCGCCCTGTCTCCCGGAAGCTGGGAAGGCAGGAGTCCGCTGACGACCTGGACCGAGAGAAGCTGAAGGCCAAGGTGGTGGTGAAGAAACCAGACGGCTTCCCAGAGAAACAGGAATCCCACCAGAAACCCCACGGACTGGGCAATGATTTGGAAAACCACTCTACTTTGAGGCTGGAAGAGAGAGAGAAGAAAATATACCCAAAGGCTTTAGAAAGGTCAAGTCATTTTGAATCTAAAGCAGCCGGTCAGGAGGCCCCATCCCTGGGCAGCCTGCTGAAGGATGCCCTTCACAACCAGGCCAGCGTGCGGGCCAGCGAGGGTTTGGCCTTGGATGGGGTGGCAGCTGGCTGTGGCCAGGCACCTGGGGACCACAGTCAGGGAACCTGTGACTTCAAACAAGCCTCCTCTCCCAGCACCCTTCAGGATGGTCTCTGCCACTCCACTGACAGGTGCTCCTCCGCGAAGGGTGACAATGTGGAGAAGGCTCCCCAGGCCAAGGAGTATCTCCGATGTGAAAAGTTAGACAGCAGGCTGGCCAACATCGATTACCTCCGAAAGAAAATGTCACTTGAAGACAAAGATGACAGCCTCTGTCCTGTGATGAAGCCCAAGATGGCATCTAGTGCCCATGAATGCCTGCCAGGGAACCCGGCCCGGCCCATGGTTGGGCAGCAGGAGATGGCGCCGGCCTCTGAGAGCCGAGCGTTCATCAGCAGCGCCCACGCAGCTCAGATGAGCAGTGTGTCTTTCGTCCCCCTCAAGGCCTTAGCTGGCCGGGTGGACAGTGGAGCGGAGAAGCCGGGCTTGGTTGCTCCTGAGTCACCTGTCCGGAAAAGCCCATCTGAGTATAAGCTGGAAGGTAGGTCTGTGTCATGCCTGAAGCCAATTGAGGGCACTTTGGACATTGCTCTCCTGTCTGGACCTCAGGCCTCTAAGACCGAGCTGCCTTCCCCAGAGCCTGCACAGAGCCCCAGCCCAGGCAGTGCCGTGGGGCCCGCTGTGCCAGCGGCTCTTGCCAGCAGTGGAGGGAGGAAGGGTGACACCGCTAGTCAGAGGGAGCCTTCCCCTGCAGGCTTCAAGATGAACAAATCCTACCTGCTTGAGCCTCGGTTCCTGCCACCCAGCCGGTGTCTCCAGAATTCACCATCAGCTCCCCTGCCTGACCCAGAGGTAAAGCAGGACAGGAAGGTTTCCCATGCCACCAGAAGCCCGGTGACAGACATGGAAAATGATCTCCAGCGGAGAGAGGGCGGCCCCAGCAAACGCCAGGATCCTAGCGCTGATGCTAAACGCCTGCCCTTGCTAGGGCAGAACCTGCCTAACACTGACCCACCCAAGTCACGTGGTCCACTGCCACCTGAAGGTGTCCCCTCTAGGGAGAAGCTGAGTGGGAGGGAATCGTCGGAAAGGGGCCCTTCCACAGCCAGAATTGAGCCGCCTGCTGCAAGGGCTGACGTTCACAGAGATCCCTCCGTGGAGCTGTGTCCTCCAGAAGCTGCTAAAACCAGTGACAGCTCCAGAAATCTCCCTTCTGTGGGAAGGACCCGCCCAGATCTCCACACGCAGACCCAGGCCATGGAGAAAGCGTCAGCGCCTTGTGGGAAAACAAACCACAGAGATGGCCGAGATGAGGCGAGGCCACTGGCCAGAGAGGACTCCTCTTTGCACCCAGGGGGGACTCCTCGTGAGAGGGAGCTGGGCAGGGGAAGGAGTGGCGTGGAACCCAAGGCAGAAGCCCCTCCTGCCAGGCGGTCTCTGCAGCCCCCCGAGAGTGGGAAGAGTGAAAAGCTCTCCAGTTTCCCTTCTTTGCAGAAAGACAGTCCCAAAGACCCAGAAAGGAAAGAACAGCTACAGCAGCGTCTCAGCAGTGGCTCCCAACCCCCACCGATTACCAAAGACCTGCCCAGCCTGGCTGCTCGGCAGCACTGCGGCTCCCCCATCCACTCCTCCAGCAGAGAGCTGGGTGGGAAGCCCTGGGCTGCAGAGCCCGGCCTGGGCCTCCAGGACCCAGCCAAGCCCACTACTGTGCACAGTGAAAGCAGCATCCACAAGCCCAGGCCTGGCCCTGACCCGAGCCCTCCAAAGTCCAAGCACCCAGACAGGCCCCTCTCCTCCCAGAAGCTGAGCGTGGGGGCTGTGGTGGTCAGAGAGCCTGGCTCGCAGCCCCCTGGCCCCAGCCGAGACGGGAAGGGCATGTTGGATGTGTTCCCTGCCGTCCCAGGTTCCCAGAACACAGCCAGCGATGTGATGACCCAGGGAGGAAGTGGGCCCTCAGGCTCACTGCCCCCCAAAGGAGGTCCTCTGGACACCAAGCCAAAGCCCCCTGAAGGCGGGCGTGTCCCGGCGATGCTGGAGAAGCCCGTGCCTGTGCCACGGCAAGGACTCCCAGGGGTGAGTGAACCTATGGACCAGAAACTCCCCACTGTCAGCGAAAAGCTCAACCTGTCTCCAAAGCACCCCAAACCACCCACTGTGAAAGATGGACCCCCGCCGTGCAGACAGGCGGACAAGAGCCCTAGTCCCCTGGCCGCCACCGCAGAGAGGAAGTCTGACGGGAGGAGATGCACGGAAGCACTTTACGTTCCCGCAGACGGCGGGCAGCTGGAGGCCAGCCCGGCCCCGGCCCCCGGCGAGGCCAGGCCGAGAG